TGGGGGTTCAAGGCTTATGCAGTTCTTCAAACCGTCGTCCAGCCTCTTCGACTTGCTTCTGCTTCTCAACTTCGGTTGCGGCCTTCAATTGTTCAAGACTCTTGTGCATGCAGACAGAAAAAAAGGATGCACCTGCCCTGGCACCGATGCCGATGCCTGGTGACCTTGTGACTGTTTTTCCTGACAAAGCCAATTGGCAGCAACAGGCAGCCAACAAATAACCACATGAATGACCGGACTGGCCTTGGCCTCTCGAAGAGCTGCTTCCAGCATCTCAATTTTTTGCTGTACGAGCAGCTCGTTCTGCAATTCAGATCCAGACAAGAAACCAGAATGAGGTGTCTCTGCTTCCCTCATGTGATATGCACCTGGAGCTTGGATGTTGCCGCCTTCAGCTTCTCCTGCGGGGAGGGTTTAAATTCAAGCAGGCTAAGGAAGAAGCCAATGATTCCAAGTGCCTGTTTTGCTGGCGACAATTCGATGCCTCGCGGCTCCCTGCTTTCCACCTCGCAATGTTAAAGAAGGTTTAGGGGTTAGGGTTTAGGGCTTAGGATTTAAGGGTTAGCGGTTAGGGCTTAGGGTTTTGGTTTTGGGTTTAGGCATTAGGGTTTTGAGGGTTTGGGTTTAGGCATCAGGATTTAGGCCAACAAAACCTCACCAGAGTTGGGACATCGACCTTGGCCGGCAGCAGGCCCAGTGCACCACCCAGTCCTTGGGAAGTACTGTATCGATCGAGCCAAGGTATTTCGTGACTGCTAAGAAAAGCATACCACTAACCTGCTGCAACAAGGTGGGCATGGTGCAAACAAAGATCCAGCTAGCCTCTTCTGCTTGTCGTCTTCCGTGGTAGGATCCTTGGCCTCGAACGTGGCCGGGATCATCAGTTGATTGACTCCTTCCACCCAACTTTCGCGGTTGTTGAGCTTAGCAGCCTCCACCTCAGCCAGAACTTCCATGGCAGTGAAACGGGGTACAGCCCTCGCCAAAAGAAACTAAATAATCAAGATGCCAGAGCTTGAATCCATTCTTGATGCGAGTCCTCCTTCTCGAAGATGGCCTGGCAATCGAGCAGCTGGAACTTCGGGCCCGGCCCTTGAAGCATAAACCTCAGAAGCAAACTGAAACAACAAAATGAAGTTGTCAAAGAACACACTGCTGCAGAGAGGCTTGCCCTGTCGATAAATCCTCTGGGCAGGAACTCCAGCAGGAATGACAAGCTTTGGATCTCCTCCTGACAACGACCACCCAAGCAAAAAGAAGGAGGTCAGCAACAAGGACGTATGCAAGGCGAAACCGGTCAAATCAACTTCAGTCCTTCTTTAAATCTCAACCAGCCATTCCCCGACTTGTCGGTTTCCACCCAGTAAGTCTGTCTCATGTCAGGCTTAAAGCCTCCGCCCTCCTGGTATACGATACTTGAAACTGACATGTACAATGGCTGTCGCGCGAAGAACATAAAAAACCTGCCTGGCTCAAGGTCTTGCCAAGGTAGGCATCTTGCCAGCCATATTTCTCGGCAATTTCTTCCTGATTCAACACAGCAGCAGAGTAAGGAGGAATAGGACGAATAGGACAAAGCTACTTTAATTCGACAATGTTCAGCGACAAGTGGCCAAGTTCGAGAAGTCTGCCTTCACTTCTTGCATGCGGTCCAGGCCGACCCTGGCCAAATACCGCTCCCGGGCATCCTTGACTTTGGCCTTCCTCAGTCAAACACATATCGTTTGCACAGGTAGCCCAGAACCAGGCAGAACATGATTCCACTGAACATGGACAGTGAACACACCGAGAATGGACCGAGGCTCAGCTCACCTCTGATGCGAGCCCGGAGGTCACGTACTCGCATGCTTGGTGGTAAACCACAGCTCAACCAAAAACACATGCCCAGATGTACATCGCTGAGTTGGTGCCTGATACCTGCCAGCAGCAGTAACCCGGAATGGATCTCTTTAGCGGCTGTAGCGTATATTTGCCACTTGCATGGTTGACTTGGAACATGTTTCAAAATGGAGATTACACAACATAGCACGTGCACAAAACAAGAGAGCAACACTGCGAATAATGCGCCCAAGCCTGGGGCATAGCGCTCCTCATCAAGATGGGTCAGGAGCCGTAGGGCATCTCGCCTGGCCAGATTTTGCACTCTTGCAAATCACTCCTGATTTCAATATCTCCCTCATCTGGCCTTGGGTACGTGTTTGTCTTCGAAGATTTCTTCCACAGGGCCAGGCAAGTCTTCGGCACCGGCCTCTTGTCCAGCTCCTCACCTCAGAGTCAATCACATCTTCACAAGTTTAACACAAAATGCTCATGCCTGAACCAAAACAGCCATGACCTATGACAGCATGACAGACAAGAGGCTACAGGCATCATCGGAATCACTCGAGGGACTTCTCGGTCTCGAGGAACCGGATGAGGATACTTTCTTCTTCTTGCCATCTGGTGGGCTGCATCACAGAATCAAGGACCAGGGGAATGTAGCTCACTAGGCAGTCCAGAGCAGAAAATTCACATGATGCCAGCACTCAAGCACAGCCTTTCTTGGACGAAGGCTTCTGATTTCCTTTCCTCTTTTTTTTGCCTTTGCTTTTGTCCTTCTGAGTCTGCTCCTTCTTCTTCTTATCCTTTTTGGATTTCTTCTCCTGCGATCTGCCTCTTGACTTCCTCTTCTTTCTTGGTGCCGATGACTCACTCCTGAAAGCAGGACCCAAAAACAAGAGCATGTGACATCCGCTAAAAGTAAGGTTTCCCCTGGCATGCTCATGAACGAAACACAACTCAGTCAAAACAGTTAAGTTAAAGCGAGCGGCTTATCAGTGGACAGCAGATCATCAAATGGATCCACCGACTCACTGCTGCTGCTTTCCACCTCCCCTTGCTGTCCAATGCCCCCCTGCTGGACTGGGACGAGCTGCTGCTGCTGCTGCCCCATCTGCGAACTCATACCCGGCAGCATGTGGGATCCCATCCCCGTGGGTGGCATGGCGGCCTGGCCTAGCATCTGGGACCCCATGGGTTGCACGACGCCAGCCTGGCGAAACATAATCGGCTGCATGGCAGCCTGCCCCGCCATCATCTGGGGGCCCATCCCCGACATCGACGACGACGCTTGCCCTCCCATCGGCGCCATATCATAATAGCGTAGCCCGAACTCGCTGGGCCTCAGGTGCCTCAGATGATGATTTCATTCATCGGTATTTCTGCGTGAGCCGTCCTCCCTGACTCTCAAAATCAAACACAAATGACAATGATTCAATTGCATCTCAAGTACTCCGGCAGCCGCTTGTCCCGAGCGTGCTTGCGCTTGCCCATGGCTGCGAGGGTTTAAGGTTACTATAGAAGCCTAGATAACTACCAATACTATTCCTTCGGGTTCCTTGTTCCAAGCATGTTGTATAGGAGCCCCAAGCCCTAGTCTAGTCAATAAGGCCCCTACATTGCAGCCATCGAGCCTGACTGAACACAGACCGAAACCCCTTTAAACCCCTCTGAGGATCCGGGCACAGCTCTTGTTTTCCTTGTACCAGGACGAGAACGCACAGGCTGGCCACTCAGGAGTGCCAGGCATCATGGCTATGCTGATTTCAGATTTCAGATTGCTGATTTCAGACTGCTGATTTCAGACGAAGCTGATTTCAGACGGCTGATTTCAGACTGCTGATTTCAGACGAAGCTGATTTCAGACGGCTGATTTCAGACTGCTGATTTCAGACGAAGCTGATTTCAGACGGCTGATTTCAGACTGCTGATTTCAGACAAAGTTCCACGCATATTGTATAGGAGCCCCAAGCCCTAGTCTAGTCAATAAGGCTCCTGCATTGCAGCCATCAATCAAGAGTGAGAAAATGCCATTGAACACCAGAGTTTTCAAGGAGGCAGTTCCGGCCGCCTAAAAACTCGTCTGAGCCTGACCTGACTGAGCACAGCTGGCGGTTTCAGCTGGGGGAACAGTAAGTAGTTAGTAGGGCTCCTTAAAGGGACCCTCTCTCTCTCTCTTCTCTCTTTCCTTCTCTTTGTCTCTCTTGCGGCCTCCCCTGCAGTCTGAAGGCACTGTGCAGCCCTCGCTCTTCCACCCCAAGTGGGCGACAAAGCACTGGCGCTGTCCCCGCTCGGCAACATGCACCCCTGTGTGACCGCCGGCCGCACGGTCAGGGGGAGAGGATTGTCGAAACGGGTGAGCACAGGATCCTGCCCAGCAGACGCATTAGCCCATGTGCTCTGCTGTCATCCACCGAAGTGGGTTGGCCAAAGCAGGAACGTATGGCACTTCAGTCCCGACACCCGGCCAACGGTGTCTCGCATGTTCTGCGTGGGTAAGGACGGACTGACTAAGGACAACGACAAAGCAAGCAAGGTCAAGCTCATGCATGCTAAGAACAAGAATGGTCTAGAAAAGTGTTTGAAGTTCTCCGCAGATACAACGAATAATTTGGAATAATTTCGAAGAATTTCGAAGATTTACGAAGATCTGAGAAGAATGGTCTAGAAAAGTGTTTGAAGTTCTCCGCAGATACAACGAATAATTTGGAATATTTTGGAATAATTTCGAATAATTTCGAATAGTTTCGAATAATTTCGAAGATTTACGAAGATCTAAGAATAATGGTGAAGAACCTGGAAGAATGAAGAATATTATGGAAGTTTACCGAAGAAAACTGAATATTTCCGAATATTTAAGCAGAAATGCAAACATTTCTGAATATTGTTGAATAGGGTTAAACACACTGAGAAGTACCCTTCTGAGAACCCTCCCTATCCTCATAGAAGATAAAATGGTGCTGAAGCATGTTACTTCAAATGGAACACTAGAAGCAAATTCAAATACATTTTGCATTCTCTCGCAAAGCTGCCACTTCAGACTTAGATAGTGTCCCATCTACCAAGCAATATGGCCTGAACAGCTTCTATGAAATTTAACCTCGAAAGTGCTCATAAAGATGCAGTCCTCATCAGTTCTATTCTTTGCAGCCCCAAACCAGTTTAGACAGAACCTCATCGGCCTGGTTTCGTATTTCAGTCCGCTCTCGGTCCATGTCGAAGCTGGGGAACGAAGCGGACTTCCTGAGTAGCAGCCCGTCATGCCACGTCTCAGGACGGCTACACTGTCTGAAGTCTTTCGATTTGATGTGACATGTCACCAGGCCAGTTGAAGCGCCCCTCACGTTTGCCGACATCACCGTCGAGCAAACGAAGGCTTTGTAGGCCTTCGGGATCGAAGATCTGGGATCGCAGAAAGCCACTATGCATCAAAGTCGCTTCAGCGCGCGTCCCACATCTACTTGAAGGAATGAGTTCTTGACGTTGAGGATGGTAAACACTCCTGCTTGGGCTTTCAGGGTTCATGATGTCAGCTGGAAGTGCTTGGAACCAGACGCGGACTACAGCACCACGGCTGCTCACAGTACTGTAGTTCAGGGAACTTCTCCTAGTACAGCTTCGCACTGGATCCATGACCCACTTTGCTGTTCAAGTGCTTCGCGTTACAGGTCGCCGTGAACTTGTTGTCGATGCCGGGATATTATGCGATACCTGTCGCCATGCTTCTTGTTATCGCTTGCCTGACCAAGCCCGATTTGCAGTTTGAGAGCTTGTGGTATAGCCTTCCCGGAGGCTGTCTGGTATGTTTGCCAGTGATACAGATCTGGGTGCGGGCATAACTTCTTGCCTAAGCACCGATGCAGCTCTAATCGAAATGGAGACTTCTATCCCCAGACAGCTCTGAAGCAGCACTTGTTTCCTTCCCGTTGCTGGCTGGGCCTTGGTCTGTTCTAGCTGTGTCAGCTAGTAGCTCTGGTGATGGACACCGTTTACACCCTGAGTAGACTCTAAGCCTGCTTCTCACTGCATTTAGCAACTTCCATGACGTGCTTCTCACCCGGCGCTGTAGGTGCTATGGAGACCTGTTTGCCTGTGCAATCGGAAGCGCAGCGCACTGGCGATGCCGGCTCATGTCGCATGAGTGTGTATTCCGGACGGGTCGACAGAAGCTATCGGCTATGGCACTTAGACGACCCAGCTCCCAAGCCAAGTCAGATGAAGCCTCGACCGGTCCTTCCCCTGCATCCGACTCATCAAGTGATAGGATCTGCCAAAGTGCGTCTGCGTATACTGAACGGGAAAACCTCGGAACCTCAGCCGCAAGGTGTCGCCCGATTGTAATGGCAGAAAGCAACTTATGAGGCTCAGCTTTAGAGCACAGTGTTGCCTGAAACGTCGCCCTTCGCAAGTTCAGACAAGTAGCACTAGCAGCGGCCATCGAGCGTCAAAACAGTGACCAGAACACCGATACTGGCACTACGCGCTTGAAGTGGGAAACATGCGGCAGGATGAAATGCATCAACAGCACGTCCAAAGGACACGATCTCCCGGATGTCTGCTCTCTTGGCTTCACATGTATCACATGTCACCTGCGTGGATAATGCTCGGCATTGGCCGCTCCAGATACTCGAACTTGCGTTCTTCGTGCAAGAACATCGACCTTGCAACATTCTGCTTTCCCCCGCATTGCCTTGTCACACATGACACATGCATGATCTAATTTGTGACTGTGAAGTTGGTATCGGCTCGTCGATTGGTCGGGTCCTCATAGGGTAACACGACGGGGGTACAGATCTTAAGCCCGGGCAAATGCGCCTGGAGGCGTCGCGAGCGGGTGGCACCAGAAGGCTGCTGTCTCCTGGTCCTCAAAACAGAGAACTCCTTGCATCTAGCTGAACAGCTGAACCTAGCTCAAGTCTCAAGACCGGAGCTTCAAGCTGTGGGTCTTTCAAGCTCTGGTGGCCATCACCCCTGCCATCCTTTAAGGCGCGCCTCAAGCGCTAATATTCTCACGTCCAATCACAGATGTCTCATATAAAAGTACTGGCAAGACATGTATATGGAGCAACCCCTTGCAGCCCTTGCAGTTGCAGCATGTACCCAACTGATCGCCTCCGCGATGCCCCACAGCTGAAGACGGTCGACCGGAAGGCGGCTCCTCGCCGCAGTCGAGGTTCCGGGGTTTCGGTTTGGGTCGAGAGTTTAACCCGGTGGTGGCGGCGGCGGTGGTTGGCGGTGTCGGTGGTCCTACAGTACTGGCGGTGTTGTGTGTTGCTGGCGGCCTTTTGCCTTCGTCTTAAACGATTCGTTCGCAATGATGACCATCATGAAGATGGTCCTGGCTCCGTGTCCAGCAGCAAGCGCTTGCAGAATGCCCCCGGGCCAACTCTGCTTGATTATTAACCTCCCCATCATCTCCACTTTATCAGGCATTAGCTCTAATTTTGCTGGTGGCGGTGGCGTGCTGCTGCCGTGTTGTTGTTGGGATCGCCGCTATAGCTCATCTTTGCAAGGTTTATCAGCTCAGCGATCGATCGGAATCTGTCGCGACCTGGCCTCTCGGGGCTCTTCCTTGCTGGCCGCCCGGCCTTGGATAAACGTGACACCAGCCAACGACAACAGTGGTGCAAAAGCTTCGTTGTCCCTCTCGTGAGAAGCGCAAACTGACAGCAATGGCAACAAGCGTCACAACGGCAAGTTGGGAAGCGGTCACGTAGGCCAGAACAACAAGTGATAAGTTCGGCAACATGCTGAGCACTGAGCATGGTGAGAAACTAGTCGAACAAAACAAGGCCGTGCAGCCAAAGGGCCAGTGCAACATCTTACTTTTCAATATTTTCCCCCTACTTAGCAAGGACGAGGCCCGCATTGCAGGGTTATTGGAGTCCAGGGTTCAGTGGCAGGTGATGCCTGGCTTGCTGACCAAGCTATTCAATGTCAAATCGGCCGCCAAGCCTGAAGAAAATCTCAGTCTTGCTTACAATAAAAAATAGAATGACATGAACCCTTGTACAACCCCGGGCCAAGATGCTGGAAGGAGCGTGCTGCGATTGCCGGATCCTTGGAGTTCCAAAGCAGACTTGCAGGGAGCTTGGGCTTTTGGAAATGTCGCGAGACAGAGAGGCCCCTGCTTGAGCCACCGGACGCTCTCTGTTTTCCTGGCTCCGTGGAACACCTGGTATAGCAGCACCTTGTCGCCGTGGCCCTTTAGAAAAGGTTCCCTAGGCTGGACTACCAGAGGTAGATGCCGGACGGGCATCGCGCAACACAACTGGGATGTAGAATGCATGCGCATGCCTACGGCTGTGACCAGGTGGCCATAAGAAGTTAAACGAAGTTGCAGCTGCTTCCTGCTCAGCATGAGTCTTGTATGTTCATGATAGATCATTGGACTTTCGAAAGACCATTGGTCATCTTCGACTGATATCACATCCGTGGTGGCCAAACTAGCCTGTCAAGAGAAAGCTGCGAAAGCTTCATCTGTGTCTGGCCATTGCAATGACGCCTTTGGTGTTATGCTCTAGAGTTCGAGGGATTATCAAGGTCATCTTCGTCGACGATCAAACCATCCAGAGCCAAGCGAATCCAAACGGTACATCAAGCTGGCAGTAGCTTTAGTCAATACCACAATCAAGTCGTCCAAGAGCTGCTCAAGCTACATCACAGTAAGGCCAAGGCTGTCCGAGCTGGGCCAAGACATCGTTCTGACCAGCACATGTTTGTCGCTTTGCGGTTCCAGTCAGAAGGAGGCTTTCGGTCAAGAGGTGCCTTCATCGATAAGAGATCAAAGTAAGCATAAAGCAAGGGATGATACACGCCCAGCACGCCCAACAGTGGCATGCCATCATGCATCTACTTTTCGGAAGTCTGCAACAACTTGTGGTGTTGCAAAGCTGGCAAAGCTGAGTTGCTGGGCGCCTTGGCTTCGGAGCCTGCCTGGCTCAGGGCCTGGCTCGGGACCACTCGCAGGACATGTGGGAAAGAAAGGGCCTGGCATCTGGAACAGCCTGTTGCGGGCGGTGCGGATATTCAGAACCCGCCGTTACGACTGCAAACTTCTGCTCAGTTGACAGTATGAACACTATGATAAGGAATATGAACGTCGAGCTTTGACAAAGCAGAACCAAGACCAAGGCCTCGCCTGTGGCTGGTCGGGCACACCTGCAAATGGTTGATGAAGGGCTGCGGGAAAGCTGTTCTACATAAAGGCAACTTGCGGATTCGACTGCAAGGGGTGGAAGCGACGTCTAAAGCGCTGACCATGAAGTGACGGCGGTCGCCCATACATCGACCGGACAATGTCGCGCTAAAGACCCGCTCTTCGGCGGGGTCCCTCCAACCCAACGAAAAGGCAAGGTAGCACGGATCAACAAGGAAGAAAGAACATGCTCAAAAGCTCATCTCCGAAACCTCCAAAACCTACTGCCCATGCCTGGCTGGAGCGGGATCTCGGAGCAGCTGGGAACTGAGCAGGCGACAAAAAGCGGTCTTGGAACAAGTCATGCATCATATGCATCATGTATCGTGGCCCACGCCACGACTATCCCGGAAGCTCGATCTTCGCGGACGCTCTCTTTCTCATGAAGACGGGTAGTGACCGTCTTCATATCAAGAAACCTGAAACTCTGCATCCAATGGTCCAACAGCCTCCTTTTGCTAGGCTTTCGTCGGCTTGCAGCCCTCCGAGCAAAGCCAACGCGAGTTCTGCGAGACCGAAGCAACCCGGAGCCCGAAGGCCCGGAAGCCTGAGCCCAGCTTGGGACTCTGGCCTGATCCTCCCGAAACGTCGCGCTGGAAGTTGGAGCTCTCGGAGTCCCGGCGTCTGCAACACGGCGTTTTCCCCAGGACTTGGAGGACAAAGACAGAGGCATGATCTGGCATGACTTCGCTATATGTTACTTGCACGGCGGGCTTCGGAACCCTGTCAACCTTCAAGCCTACCCAAACACGCCCGCATCGTCTCGTCAGCTCCGTGTTCACAACAAGACCGTTATTCCAGTATCAGTATCCTTCGAAGTGACAGAGACCCGAACTAAGTTCAAGCAAAGTGCACTCTAAGGAAGATCGTGCATTGCGTCCGTTCTTGCCGAGCCCTAGCGGCCCTAGTCACTGGCTTTCTCCGCTTTAATGCAATCTGCATCGCAGCCTTTACCGAAGTGCACCGAATCAGGGCCCCAAACCGACGCGGCGTAAACTCCCGGTCATCCGTGACCAGACAATGCTCACTCCAAACCAAAAGCACTATACTCGGCAAAAGCAGAAGCCTCCTGGATCTGCTCGCCAGGGGCTCACTAGACTGCCCCGACTTCTCCGGGGAAGGCACCTGATGGCATCCGGAGCAGGGCCAGGGTTCTCATGCACTTTGTTGAAAATTCCAGGGTCGACCGGGAAAGTCGCAAAAGCCCGAAGCTGCTTCGGCTTCGGTGAACTTCTGCGGAGATCTGCTGTGTCAAGGCGAATGCTCTGACACATAGCACACCTGAAAGAGACAATTTGGACAAACCTTGACATTGCATCTGCATTCATATACCAGTCAACGCAGCTACAATACATCTGGAAGGAGCTCAAAGCATCCAACAACCAGCTCTGACTCTACATCCTGATGCAAACGCCCGTCTGCCGACTTATCTCTCGACCTCTCAATCTGTCTGTCTATCTAACTATCTACCTGCCAGCCTACTTGCGTGCCTACCTCTCTCTCTCTCTCTCTCTCTCTCTGTCTATCTATCTGTTTCTGTAATATTCGCCTCGGTCTGGGCCGAAGCGGTCAGAGGTTCCTATTCGGATTCCGTCTATTCCCCAACTCTTGATCCCGAAAAGGGGCCCGCTGACCCCCACCCCTTCCCCCCCCCTCTCTGTGAACCCATGAATTTGCCAGTGAAATCTCACCTGCTCCAATGGATTTGGGCTCTGTAGGGCAGTCCAACAGAGTCTGCCCTACTTAGCTATGCGTGAACACACGCATCCATCCATGTATCTATCGGCCTATCTGCGTGTCTGTCCATCTACCCATACATTTATCTATCTAGCTGACTCTCTCTCTCTCTCTCTCTCTCTCTCTCTCTCTCTCTCTCTCTCTCCGTATTCTACTGACCACCCGCCCACCTACCTAACCATCTATCTACCGATCTGTCGATCTATGCATGCACCCAACTACTATACTCTATCATTCTATCCGCTGATCAGTTGTTGATTTATCGGTTTGTCTATGTTTCTATCGGTCTATCTATCGAATAGCCTTTAGTTCTTTCTTTCAGTATGTCTTTGTTTCTATCCGTAATGTAAGTGCGCGTGTGCATGCCCCACGAGCGAACAAGACTCTCTCTCTCTCTCTCTCTCTCTCTCTCTCTCTCTCTCTCTCTCTCTCTCTCTCTCTCTCTCTCTATCATGACCTCTATCTATCTATCTATCTATATATATATATATATACAAATGAATACGTCAATAAGGATGTATATACGCATGCATGTTACATACATACATGCGTACAAACATATATACATACATACATATATACATACATGCACAAATGTGTATACATAAATGTGTATTCACACATACATATACATACACTCGTTTTCTGCACATATATTCACAGGCGTACATACATGTATGCACGCACAACAAAATATCATGTGTGCATACCTACCAAAATGCATACATACGTTCACCTACAAACAAGCAGATATACCTACATACTTACAAAGCTTCATACCTACTCACATCCATCCATCCGCCAACCCGTCCAGCCTGCATGCAGGTAAATATAAATATACATATTATATATATGTATATCTATACACATATCTGATATCTGTGTGTGTGTGTGTGTGCATGTGTATCACATGATGCCTGGGCATCTTCGCTGCCGGCCCGTGGTCGGCGGTGCTCTGAGCTAAGCGGAATCCTGGCATCCAGAGATCACAAAGCCGAGAACTTGAGAGATCACCAAGTCTTGCCATGCTTTCTCGAGTACAAGAATTCAGTCATCGCGTAAGCTCATTCTGCACGTATGCCTTCCCCGGCACAGTACTCGCCCTCTGCCCGTTGCACAGCCTGCCACTTGTCGGAACACGCACCCCCGGCGAGGTCGAACGGTCGGCGCTGCCTTGCCTGCCCAAGACACCACCAGCGGCAGGCAAAGTCGACACACAGCATCTCGATTGGATGCACTGAAAACGCGATCTTTCCAAAGCACTCCAAAATCAGCTGTTGAGCTGGATTCGTTGAATCCTGCAGGCCTTCAGTCTCATGTCCGAATTGTGTCCAATCTTCCACGAGAAGCTTCCAGAAAAGCAGCCCTCAGTCCGGCCGCAGAACGTCCCGGCCTCGACGTGTCAGCCTCCACCTCTCACTCAGGATCCGCAGTAGACCATTTCAGCTGTTTAGTCTTGAATATTAATGACCGACATTTGGCGCGTTCGATTCGAAGACTTGGACTCATCAAGCATCCTCTGCGAACCATGTATCTGCTGTATCGCTGGCAGGCTTGTCGCTGCATCGCGACTTTGTACAATCTGCTTATATCTGCTTGCTTGGGCGTCTCTAGAATATGGACATGTGTATGTATACATATCTACATGTATGTATGTATCCACGTATGTATGTAAATATGTATGTATGTATACACGCATGGGGACAGACACGGGAATGCTCTACATTGCCCAGTGGTGACCGTCTGAGTCTGAGTCTTGCTGAATTGAATCGGATTTTCCGGCCGTTTTTGCTTCACAGGCTGGAGGCATCCCCAAGTTAAAAGGAATGCCAAGCTTGGGCACGCTTCAAAAGACAGGAGCAAGTGTATGGGGATCTTGCTCTCGGATTTGCACGGACTGCTTCTCTTGGTTCTGGAGAGTAGGCTCTTCGCCTGAGAGCTCTTTCGGTCGAGGCCCGATTGTGGTGCCTGAATCTCGACTGGGCCATGCAGGAACACAGGCTCGATGTCGGGAACAAAGTAGCTCAAAAAGCAGCTTGGATGCTCAGCGCTAAGGCCAAGTGGATGAAGGCTACTGAAATCAGCATATGCATACAAACTCACTATATCACTGTTGTTAATGAATGAAACAAACAACTCAAACGCAGAAAGGTGTGTATGTACACACACATATAAAGAAATAACTATATATATATATATATATATATACATACATACCTATATACACACAGCACCATGAACTATCAAATGTATATATATATATATATATGTATATATATATATATGTATGTGTATATGTATATGCATATATATATATATATATATATATATATATATATATATATGCACGCATGGGCGCGTGAATACATATGTGTGCAAGTGTGTATACATATATCATTATACAAATACAAATACATATACATATACATATATATATATATATATATATGCATGTATGCATGCATAAGCTGTGACTGGCAAAAATCGTCTGTGCTGGGACCCCAATGCTCATCATCTCTTGCTGCAAGCCTCTGGCATTCGGCCGGGAAGGCTGCTGTCAAACCTGAGAGTAACTTCGGTCTGATTGGGGCTGACGGCACCCCGTCGAGCAAACTCGCATCTTGAAGCAGTGGCAGCGCTTTATATCGTGATGTTGACATCAGCAAGAACAAGCTGACACATCGTGACCTTTCGATATCCACACAACAGGAACTCGAAGGTGTCTTCACTTAAGTCTGACCGGCCAACCTCCCGAGCTTCGACCCGACGACGTGAAAAGCCATAAACTCCCTTGCGTCTGGTATTCCTTCACATGTCACGCCCTGTCCAAGCAAACGCAAAATAGCCGAAAAGAAAGCTGCAAGCTCTACAGTTCCGGCACCGAACACGAAGAGGCGGACCGAAAAAAGAGCCTGTCCAAAGATGCAGGTAATTCGAAATGTCAGGCCCACTATCTCAAACCTAATCCTGTCACCTTCGTTCCAGCAGCCATCCAAACAGAGTTGAGGAAGCGGCTAACAGGCCGCCTCTTGGGCTTTCCACGATACCCAGGTTTTGTGCATACGGACACTTCGGCTAAAACCACCAAACTTGAAATGGCAGTAGGTTCCGATCAGAGTTCTCGAATCCAACATTGCACTTTTCGATACACTTAGTCTGTGGCATCCTCCCGCCGCCCCCTCGGCCCCTCCGCATCGTGGTCGTGCCCCAAAACCCACCCCCCACAAACTCAAACAGCGCCGTGACTGTTCTGGGGTGCCAATCTCGGTAGCACCGCCGTGGGCGGTCTTCGTCATGTACTGGTTCTTGGGTATGTGGGCTTGGACTGCTATAAGTCTGCGTGCCTGTTTGGGTCTGTGCCTGCTCAATAAGAACAACAACAGCATTCTGAACATACTCATAGTCATAGTAGTACCAGGAGTAACCATCGCAAGAACAGCAATGACGTGTGTGGCCAACTAGTTATGAGCATGATGATGGTGATGCGGAGCCTATCGTTCAGCACTCCTGCGTTTCAGTGCCAGCTCTAACCTGAGGCACCGTCGTGGAGCTTTGGAAGCTCGACGCCTCAACGGTCATCTTTACCTGGGCTTTCCCCTTGGGGCTTGTCGCTACCAAACAGCTTGGCCTTCCAGCTCTCGAAGGACGACACGTTGGCAGATCAGTCTCTGTGGCTCAGTGCCGGGTGAACTCACGCGCAGCTCTGAACCGCTGTGAAGATCGCACGACGGAACATGTGGAGGGCCCGCCGAGACCCTCTCGTAACTGCTAGCCTCATCTCGTTTGACGCTGCTCCAGGCGGGAGCTTCAGGAGGAGGAGCTTCCAACTGCGTGCCGGCGTATGCTGCGAAAACTTGCCATGCTTTGTTCAAGCAGCTTGGATGGCTTGACAACACAAACGGCCGAATCCCTTCCTGAGCTGTCCTTCTAGCACCTGCCGGAGGCTAGACATGCTCTGTGACCGCTATTGTAGTTCGTTCAACCGAATTTCAGCTCGGCTTACACTGCACCTGCGCACACACACACACACACACCTTGCACGGTGACGGATGGGGTGATCTGATCACGGATTGGCCAAGCAAGTCCCCGAAGCTTCACACTCCGATGCCGTGGCCTTCTTCGCCGCCGCACGAGCCACCAAGTCCGCCTCGAGCCTGGCTCGCTTTTAAAATGGAAGCAAGAGTGAGAGGTTGCAAAGCTTGCAGCTCGGTTCCGATCGTGCAAGTCTCCTCATTCTCCATCCAGAACTGTGTTAGCCTTCGGCACCGAACCCCCCCTTTGTCGACACTGAAACCGCTCTCTCCAAGAGCCAAGGCCCAAATTTGCCAACAAAAAAGAAAGCGTCCCAAGCGACATCTCTGCCCCATCTCTGCCAAGGCACATCACCGGCGGGGCCTGAGGAGCCGGTGCCGCAAAGGGCGCCTGAACAGCCTGGAAGCGGGGCATAGTCTCATATAGTCCTCCTACTCCCATCGGAACTGTCCAATGCACTGGAGGCATCAACTTGTTCACTCTGCTTCAACGATTCCAGCCGATTTCGAAGTCGATGTTGACCCCGTCAGACGTTCTGCACACCCTCTGGAACAAAGCCAAGCCCCGGGCCGGCGGCATCGCGTGGATTTCTGGTGGCTGCTGCCGTCGCAGACCTCATTTCTGGCTGTGGCCGATTTGAAATGGCTTCGGACTGGAGCTCGCATCGATCTGCCTGGATCCTGGATCCATCGACCCTCGACAATCGACAATAATTTCTAGCCTATATATCCATATCCTATCGCCAGGACGTCAGCGGTCAGCGCAAGCCTCTGCATTGGCCTGCAGCTCAACTTGGGACAGCGACTGTTGCCCCGCTGACGGTTGCGCTCAATGAAGGTCTTGCGCCACTTCTCCATGATCACAGAAACCTCTCAGGGCGTGAGCCTTACATGCTGCACAGTGTCCCCTGAGAGATGGGATTGTGAAGGCATAACTTGAAGCACCGGAGGTGTTCCATTTTTTCACCAATCCAACCCATGCTCCGGGCCCTCTCTCAAACATCTGAATCTGAAACGACGGTGGGCTGCTCTTTGCAGGCTCGACCTCGTCGTCCAACTTGTCCACTTGGTCGGGATCTGCTGTCGGTCCTTGAGTGGACACCTCGCAACATGACTGGCGTGCAGCGTCGTGCGCGAGTTCAAGCCCGAAGATCCCTTGGGATGGCTTGGGCAATTATCCAAGTAACGTTCAGAGACGCTCTTCACTTCACATCCAACTCCTTTTTTTGGTCCGTCGCAGGCTTGCACTCATGTCGTCAGGGAACCCGTAATTCGGATTCGTGACGACTAGAACAGGATGCCGCCTGCGAAATGTCCGTACTTCCTCTTCGCGTATCTCCCATTGCCCTTCCGGACGTAGCCTCGCGGCGCATTCAGTTTCGTATAGATGCGGGGATCCGGCGCTTCTGGATCTTTGGGCGGTGGCTCCCAAGACCTGGACAGGAGAGATCAGTCCACTGGGCTCACATCAGGATACTAGTACTGCCAACTTGCAGGCAAGAAGCGCGTACCGCCTGTGATCCATGCTGAGCTTGTTGGTGTCCGTGTCAAGGCAGAAGTATCTTCGCAACCACTCGCGCCCGATTCCGAAGTCGAAGAATGCCTTGGTGGGTCTGTCATTAGATTATGATCAGTGATTGTAATCCGCAAACATCCTGGCTGACACAGACGGCTGGAATACGCTGCAAGAAAACAGCAAATCCTGTGTCCGTTGAATTTGCTCATACCGATCAAAAGGGCGCACGCAAAAGGCTTTAAGCGTCAATTAGACCTTGTTGATCTCGGTGCCTGACATGCACCTCAACCTACCCAGAGATCCACGACGAAGACATCACAAGCACAGACACACCACACACACACACACACACACACACAACACACGTGCACATCCAAGAACAGCATGATGCCCCGCAGCGAGCTGGTGCATCTGTTGACCCCATGCGCATTAGATTTGAAGAAAGACGGTGAAACCTGAGAGGCGTTTAAGCCTCAGGCCTGCAACACCTAAGAATGGAGCACTGCTGGCTTCGCGACCTCCACAGAGGTGTAATCTTCGTAGTGGATGCGCGCAGCTACGGCGATGGCCTCCCCGAATCGAAGTCAAGATGATTTACAGAGAAAACATGCAGCAATGCCTTCAGGATTCCCTCTGCTGACACACAGAGAGGTGCCTCCCGGGTTTGCCGGGCCACGTTCTTTTCCAGAAGGTCACCGTAAGACGTGATGTCAAAGAACCTTATTGTACCACGGGCGACACGGTGTACGAGTGTCACAGGCTTTGTCCCCGAGGCATGGAATCACAGAACCGATGGGTTCTAGTTCACCGGTGCCAGGGCGACGGCCTTTGCTGGCACAAAGCTCCACAACTTCGAGGCTTTAGCATAAGGTCCGTGCATGAATGGAGAAGCACGGGTTGGGAGACCCGGGTTCTTCACAGGAAATATTGTCGCAAGCCACGCACACACACACACACACACACACACACACACACACACACACACACACACACACACACACGACTAGACAATTTACAGGAGCTGCTGGTGCTGGTGGCTGTGGACCTACGGCAATCAGTGGCCTACAAGTACAGCGGCGTAGCTTGGCTTGTCCGAAAGATCCTTCGTGCTGAGCCATACACGGAAAGGCCCAAATTGCATATTGCCTTTATATTGACTGTAAACTGTAAACCGTAAACTCCGCAAGCGGCAAAGAGTTCCAACATAATCCAGCAACCGTTTCATCCATCCTCTCTTGGCACCAGGAAAGAGGGGCCCAAGCACGGCCACGTGCACCCGGCCATATCCTGGGTGGAAAAGCCGGGCTTCACAATAGAAGGATCGAAGCGGTGTCCCGGATTCTTGAAATTTGGTGGGGATCAACGCTCGGTTTGGTGAAGTTTGCCGGTGCTACTCCGAGTCGAGGGCGAGGCCACGCAGGCTTTGATTTAATTAGTCATTTAGTCAAGCTTTGATTTAGTCTTACTTCAATGCACGAGCCGGCGGAGAACTTGTCGTTCCTGACGTACATGCTTTGGAACGAGTTGTGGAAGCGTGCGCTCCAAAATCAAGGCGGCCCGCTGCTATCACGGCCAAGAGTCTGAGCCGCATCTCCTCTTGGATGTTCCTCAGCTAAGCATATTCTGATCTGCAAAATCAGGACATCTCAGGACTAAACAGGTAAAAGCATAGAACCCCTAGAAAACCGAAGCTTGTAAGAGATGCTAAGAGGCATCAAGAGCGCTTCCTGCTCGGTGTGGCTCAGAGGAGGCCGTGCATCCGGATTCCGAGCTACGTGCTGCTTCCAGGGCTTCAGAAAAGGAAGATACACCAGGTCGTCCTGCACTCAGAGAAATCTTGTGCCCACACTGTTGACTGTTGACCTCATATTTAGAATCCCCACCTGTGCCACCCCGCAATTGCAAAATCCGAGGCGGCCAAGCGGATGTAAAATCATGGATGTGGTGGGTGTGGGAATTGATAGAAATTGCTGGGCTCGTGGACACTCTGCCTACAGCTGCTGCTTCTACATCTTCTACATACTACGCCAGCAAGCGGGGCCAGCTTTCAATCCCAGACGTCGTGCTTTGGAGGACAATGCCTGGAAGGATCCGGACGGTGTCCTCTACAACGAAGTACTCCCGCAGCCATGCTTCAAGCCACAACGGAGGGTCGACATACCTTGGCTGCTTGTGTGTCAGTCTGCTGGAATCTATACATGCCTTTTTGCCTATCCTTCCCGGAATACAAACCACACTACACACACACACACTCACACACACACACACACACATATGCACATGCACAGCAGGACGCGCAAACACTCCCGTGCAGCAAAATAAGAATAGCCCCACCGACCCACTCAGTGGAATAGCGTGCTGGCGCAACACCTGCGACCCTTGATCGATTTTCCATGATTGTGGGCCGAGGTGCCTTTCTGCCAACATGATCTCAAACTCCAAGGCCTCTCCCGCACGAAGCTGAGCTTTGAATCAAAACGCTCGCGCAGCTCAGGCCATCCTATAATCTTCGGTACAGAGCTGTTGGGTGCCTCCTCCGAGAGCTCAAGTCTCTCCAAGGCCTCATCGTCGCTGCCGAACAGCTGCTCCTCGCAGCTCGCAGGGTTGCTCGCATACAGATCCCGTGTCATGGCTTGCAAGCCACTGCAGCATGTAGCAGATTGCCAAACTCAGTCATGCGCATGCAGGGCTGTTCTTCTGCACCTCTTACCCACAGGCCGACCGTAAGTCCCGAAACTATTACCAAATTGTGTGTAAATAGATGAATGTATCCTTGCAGTTTTCTGCCTTCGATGCAGTGTCTGTATATGGACCTGGGACCGCATCCTGACGATCATTCACGTCATGATGAAGGAAAGATCCGGGCAACACACAATAGCCCACGCGTCGAAAAGGAAGCGGGGATGCCTCGTTGTCGGAGAACTCCAAGGTATCCTTTGGCGCAGGCAGCAACGCTGCAGGCTCGCCAGGATCTTTGCGCCAGTATCTTTCCCGTGCAGCCAGGCGCCACCTTGGGCCCAAGCATCTGCACACTCGCTGTACCGGTATGTACGTATGTATGTATGCATGTGATATGTATGTGCTTTTTTCCAACGCTCCCCGACTCTCGCACCCGCAGGTCAGGGCACTAGCACACGTATGTATGTATGTATGTGTATGTATGCATGCATCCATGCATGCACGTGTGGATGGTTATACAGCTAGTTTTACAGCTATAATATGATACAGTTGATACAGTACAGTATGTTCTAGTATTCCGCTGTGTATGACAAACCATAACGCAGTATTATATAAAACAATACAACATAATGAAACATAATACAATATGGTATCACATGTAGTTTCGGTTCATGTAACTGTACATAGGTGTGTATCTACCCTATGTACACAAACATGTATACATCCACGAACGCATGCATGCATGCACGCAAATATACATAAATAACTGCCTGCACGTATGTATGTAGGTACGTATGTATGCATGCTTCTGTGGTTGTCTGTGTGTGCGCGCATGTGTGTGTGAGCGTGTGTGTGTGTGTGTCTGTGAGTGTGTGTGTGTGTGTGTGTGTGTGTTTGTTTGTCTGCGTGTTTGTCTGTGTGTTCGTCTGTTTGCTTGTTTGCTTGTGGGTTTGTTTGCTTGCTATGCGCATGCATGTACAGCTATTTGTATATATGTGTATATGTGTTTATGTAGATCTGTGCATGTGCATGTGTGTATCATGAACATATATATATATATATCAGTTACTACGATCGCAGACGTTCGGTGCCCTCACTGAACAGACTATCGGCGATCGCACCTTTTTCATGCGACCGCAACGTGGGAGTCGGCCACAGTCGGATCATCAAAATTTCACTTGATCTTCACAAGTCCGATCGGACCCCCGATCGCCGAGGGGTGCGCCATGGCATTCGCCACAGACCGCAACATCATCCGATCGGACACATCAGACAAGCGATATTCCCCGCGAACAAAATTAAAAGTCTTCGATCGGATCATCGGGCTCCGGCGACGGCTCCTCGATTGGATCATCGTCGAGGGGGGCCGCGCCGAGCAAGTCAATCAACTGCCGCTCGGCGGCACGAAAAGCTGCATCAGGAGCAGCTTTGGCTCTCGTCCGAGCGGGAGTAGCGCGAGAAGCCTGGTACGCCGCGATCTGGGCGGGAGTCGGGGGCGCCTTGGTCGGCGGACTCGAGCTCCTCGTAGACACCATGATCTCGGTGCCGGGACCGGGCGGGAGCTGATCTAGCCGCCGCGGGGGCTGCCCCGGAATGACATAGTGAGCCGGTCCGCTGATGTGGACATCATCGGGCACCGTGTCGAGCGATCTGGGGGGCTGCCCTGGAACTATGTACTGAGCAGGCTCGGCGAACAAAGGAGAACGCCCTTTCGGAGCCGCTCGGCCTTGGCGCGGCAGACCAGCCTTGGGATCCACATAGTAGACCGGCTGATCCATGCCTCTGTTTCGATGAGCTCTGGCCGGGGGCGCTTTGGGCACCGGCCGCTGAACAGAGGGCACGCCCATCACTTGATCCCAGTTGAGGGGAGGATCTGCCCCGTGATCGTAGCCGGCCGGCTGGTGACGATCGCGATCACGATGAGCCGGCGGCGTGACCCAGGGGGTCTTTCGGCAGAAATGACACATATCCAGGCGACGATCGCAAGCCGTGCACAAAGGAGTGCGCTGGTTGGGGGCCCACTCTTCGCGGGGGACCCGAACGGCTGCGTAACATTCGTCTTGGCCGTCCCCGTCGCAGAAGCAGCCGGTGAACAGGCCGCAATCCACGCAGGGACGGCAGAGCTGATCTGTGTCGCCGAAAGCGAGCGCTTGAAGGCCAACGTCGTTGCGAGGATCCCGCATACCGAAAAGAACAGATAGGGTGGAGAGGGTGGGATTTTTCGGTATGGCCCGATCGGCTATCGCCAAAATGGCCACGGAGAAGATAGATCAAGTCTGTTCCAACGATCGCGAAACTGATCTCCTAATTCCTACCCACCAGACCGATAATTAGGAGACCAGTTACTACGATCGCAGACGTTCGGTGCCCTCACTGAACAGACTATCGGCGATCGCACCTTTTTCATGCGACCGCAACGTGGGAGTCGGCCACAGTCGGATCATCAAAATTTCACTTGATCTTCACAAGTCCGATCGGACCCCCGATCGCCGAGGGGTGCGCCATGGCATTCGCCACAGACCGCAACATCATCCGATCGGACACATCAGACAAGCGATATTCCCAGGCCCTCAAACTCCTTTCGGAAAGTCCGAGAGGACAGTGATCCAACCACACATCAGACCTGTAGCGACATCACCACGAGAGGGATTATCCGCCGGGTTCGAATCGGTCGGTACCCGATCGATATAAACAGAGCACCTAAGCTCCAGAACAAGCTCCCAGAAAATTCCTACGAGCTCGCAGACGTCCTCTTTTGCAGAGTAGCCTTTGATCAAAGCTGCCTCTACAGGCTCGGAATCGATAAAGAGGAGGACCAGCTTTCCACGGATCTCTTCCCTGAAAGTCTGTATCGCAGCGACCGCGGCCAAAAGTTCGATCATGCAAATTTGGGTTTTCCGGGGGAACCACCTCGACATGATCTGCCGTGACACCCCCGAGGCGAATTGCCTAGGCTGATCGTCCCTAGTGAACATCACTCCTCCAATCATCTCAGAAGAGGGATCCTTGGGGTTCGAGCTCGGCGCCGATCCATCCGTGAAAATCACCACGTCGGACTTCCGCGGCCCCGAACTGGGGATAGGCCTCGGAGGCCCATGCATCACGAGCGTCCGCCACTTGTAGAGGGAGTAGAGGAGAGCAGGCGATAGGCTCGTACTGACCGTCTTCCGGGAGTATTGCCTCTCCGACAGAGATCTCAGGAAGGCTCGGCCGATCTTCCCCCAGAGCTGCGAAGCGCCGAACATCAGCTTTCCTCTGAGCTTCCCGGCTTGGCCGGGAGACATCTCTTCGTGTTCCAGGATCGACGAGATCTCGTCGAAGAGCTCCTGCTTCCTGGACTTCTTGATCTTGAGCAAGTACTGATCGAGGTCATAGGTCACGCCCAGGATCGTGGGATCCGAGCAGAGCTGGAGCTTCTGCTGATCGAACCGGGCCCCGAGCCACCAATGGACCTTCTCGGCCAGCGCGAACGCACTATCTGCCGTGGCCTCCGGCTCGAAGCCGTACTTGTCGTCATAGAAGTTGAAGCCGGCCACGATGAACACGCGCCTTAGAATGTCGGTAATCGCAGCCGAGCGGCGATTGTAGTTATAGACGGTGGAGACCAAGCCGAAGGAGTGGCCGACCATCACGAAGAACGCCACCTTTCCCGTGGCCGGATCCTTCAGAGCGACCACACTCCACTTGCGATGGGCTGGAGAGATCGGCACCTGCCGATAGGCTCGCCGCTCGTCCAGGACCCAACCACGTAGCGGGGACTTCGGCAGCCGCGAGCGCAGCCACTTGATCACCGCCACGTTCGCGTCCGTCGAGGGGAGTTCGAGTTTCTCGGTGACGATCGTCGCCATGTTGATCCCATTTGAGGTAGCACTGTCAACTCCCCTGACTTTGTTCTTTTGAACCACTTCAAAGCGCTGAGTAGGGATCCAACGATCATCGCCGACGAACTCCGATACTTCGGCCTCGTCGAAGAAGGGACCGATCGCCGACCCTTCTCGAACATCTTCCATGGTCCCTTCCCAGACCTTGGGAGAGTGCTCGGTGATCGGAGATTTCCGAATCGCGCCTAACACCTTCGATCGAAATTCCCAGGCCCTCGAGCGAAGGGCATCAACCGAGAGATGCTCCGCATGAGGTTTGCGATCGGGCTTCCATCGGTGGGAGGAGGCAATATCGCCGACGATCGGCATGCCCGCCATGATCTGATCTACCAGGTCAGTGTCACTGCATTTGGCCTCATTCATGAGCTCCCGCCAAAGGGCGACGTGGAAGAACTGACCCATTTCCAGTGGACGATCGTCTGGGCCGCCGCGAAGAAGACGGCGCAAATGCCGATCTGGTATCTGCTTGAGCAAGGAGTCAGAGGACGGGAGCAGATCCTGAGCTCGCCGTTCCCAATGCTGCAGAAGAGAGGCTCGACGATCGCGCACTTGAGCAGGATCACGAACAATTTGCTCCAGAACATCAAGGAGGTCTGGGTCGATATCCGCGTCCTTTGTGAACGGGTGCGTAGCTTCCAAGGCGAAAGCGATCGCTTCACCCGGGTGCATCTCCGTGCCGATCAGCGGAGCCACGACAGACTTCTTCATCTGGTAACCCGCGGCGACGGCCTTCTTGCCGGCCGATCGTTGACGATGTTCCGCGGCTTTGACCGGGGCGCCATGGGGCCGCTTCCGATCGGAGTCCGGGGTCTCGAGCGCAAAAGTGAGAGTTTGCCAGGACTGATCCACGTGATCACCTGTGTTCACCGGCGCCGGCTTGAAGCCCAACTGAAGGAGTTGTTCGAACTCGTCGGCAGGGATCCGATCGACCCCCTGCACTGAGTACACGGCGAGGACCACCCGAGTTCCGATCCAGGGCAGAGTCGCGTGCAGAGCTTCCTTAGCGTTGAAGAGGATCTTATTGTCGACGAAGTCGGTGAGGAAACCGGGGATGGAGCGTCCCTCGATTTCTCTCACATCGGGCCCGAGCGGGTCTTCGATCCAGAGCCCGCCTCCTTCAAACGACCCGAGCTTGAAGACAATGTTCGGGATCGGCTCATTGCCCGAGTCACGGTGAGGTTCGGCCTCCTGATCGTAGAGGACGGCGAACGACGTGAAGAGCGCCTCAGGAGCCTGTTGAGCGATGTACGTGGTGATCGCCTTGATCGACCACGGCCATGAGTGACAGGACGATCGCAGTCTTGTGATGGTTTCATGGCGATAGGCTCCCGCGAAGAAAGCCCCGCCTCGTTCGTCGGCAGCCTTATGCTGACCCTGAACAGGGAGCTCTGTAGCCAAGTCGAGGATCTCCTCACGCAGAAGCGGAGCTCGCTTTTTCAGGAGATCTTGTGCGCGGGATTCCAGATCACAGCCCCCACGCGCGCCGGACAAGGTAAGGTGAGGAGCACTATCAGATTCGCTGGGAACCGATCAGTGGTTGCTGATCATGGCATGCGGCTCCCCACAGACCATGCACAGGTGCTTGAAACGACAGTTGTCGCCAGACACGCACCCGAGCGAGGAGTTGAAGTAGTGGCACCGGCGAGCGCCCTGCACCTTCTTGGCCGCATCGGCGATGAGCTTCCACTCCTTCTCTGGGATCCGATTGTCCCGCTTGAGCTTCTTGTTGGGATCTTCCTTAACGACCTTCTTCGGCGGATCGTCCTTCGAAGGAGTCTGCAGTCGCTTCTTCTTCTTCCCTCCGCCCCGAGGCCTTTTGAACGGGGTGTGGGGAGGAGGAGGAACTTCATCCTCCTTGACCTGATCAGGGTTATTCGCGAGCTGCTGGCGGTTCTGTTCCATCTTCGAGAGAGTCGCTGAAGTGCGAGCATCGTTCCACAAATATTTGTGGTTGGTGAGCACCTCGACCAGGGCCTGCGAGAACGAGATGTACGTCGCTCTCTGTTCAGACAGCAGGCGAAAGATCTTCTTCCGGATAGCTCGGTCCGCCGCCATGAGGAATGGCAAGCCGGGACATTCCGAGCGGAACTGCTCCAATTCCTGCAAGTACTTCAGCGGGCCCTCGGCGCGTGAGAACGCGCAAATGTTGAGGTATTCGAGCGCCATGAAGAAAGCATGAAGACGGTTGAACAGAGTCGTGACATCGGTGACCGGCTCGGGTTGATCAGCCTTAGAGATGGACAGGAGATCTTCGGCGTTCCGAGAAAGTCCAGACTTGACCACTATAACATCCGAGCGGGTCCTGATCTCGGCCGGCTCGTAGAATGGAACTATCCCATGGATCAGGAAATCGCGGGACAGCCGTTCGACGAACTTCTTATGCGGCTCTTTGGCGTCGATCAGGATGACGTCGGGGTGAACCCTCACGAAGCGATCGCGAAACTCCGCGTGGTCCTCTTGGGAGAGCTCCGGGATCTTGTTCGGGTCTTCCTCCATACGAGCTCGCCGAGAGGCGTATTGCGTTTGCAGCGCTTGAGCAGCTTGCCACACCGCTGCCAAGGACATCACGGAGAGCTCCTGTGCTGCCGCATCAGCCCCGAGCGGGGTCAAGTCATCTTGCCACAGCCGGCGGATTGTCGCCTTCGCCGAGGTGAGATCCTGCCCCAGCATTGCGAACATCTCGACTGTGAGGAGACCTTTGTCGGCCGAGAGCCTGCAGAGGGCTGGATCTAGCCCCTGTCTCCCGAAGATCTGGCGCAGGTTCAGCTTCGGGGTCGCCGCCTCATTCGCGTATGCGGTGCGATCGACCATGGCTGCCTAACGAGCTGTCTGAAAAGAAAAGCTACGGTCAGGGAGAGGCTCAGCTCGAGTGGCCATCGTGACTGCGAACAGCTGTGTTCACGGCTCCGTAAAGATCTTACCGGAACACAACGAGCACATCTGAGTACTCGGCGGATCTCGCCGAGATCCTCGCACTCGGTGATCGCGTACCGGCCGCAGAGCGTTCGCTCCGTGCCCGTACCATCTATATACATGGCATGATATTTAAGACTCAGATCCTTTGAGGACCCCGCAGCCGATCTAGCCTTGGTGACATAGGTCAGAGCGAGATCACCGAAGTCGACCAGATTGGTATCGTCGGCCTCGAACTCCGGTGGAGATTTCCAGTCGGATGCTATCCTCTTCGTGAGCCGCTTGACCATCTCGATCGAGATCTCTTTGCGGCTCCGAGCGTACTTCAGGACCAGCTGGCTCGGATCCTTCCAGTTCGCTTGGAGCCCGATCTCTTTATCGGGCTCCTGCGCCTGGACCGCCGCCGAGAGCAGCGTGACTCGGCAGGAGTGCCAGGTGATCTCCGGCACGATCTTCAGGAGCTCCTTGAGCCGCTCGGGCGAGATGTGCCCGCGCTTCAGATCGTCCGAAGCTGCAGTAGTGAGCACGTACCGCAGCCACAGGATGCTCCGTTGGTAGCTGGCAGGCCGATCGGCGAATCGCTCAGCCGATTCGAGCTCTTTCATGAAGTAGTCGCGATCGTCCATTTCGAACGCAGCTGCGTGCCATCCGTCTTCCATCCAGTCGGATCCGGAGACGGAGACTCTGGCCGCCGCGAACCGCGTTCCCTTCTTTTGTCGCTCGACCTTATAGTCTGCCAAACCACCCCATAGAGAGCCTCGTCCTTCAGGGCGAGCGCCTCGGGCACGACGTGGAGCGCGTCGTCGAACCTGAGGGACGAGTAGATCATCACGAGAACCCACCATGCGAAGAACGCCATGGGGAATTGGCTCGACTTAAAACGAGCGCACACGAACCGCTCGAGCGCCGCCACCAAGATCAGAGGGATGGGAACCGCTTCCCTCGTCTCTTTCCCGCGATCGCCATAGACCTTCTTCTGCAAGGCCATGATCCGGGGATCGAGGAGGTCGGGCAACGACAAGCCGATCCGCTTGCAGATCCATTTGACCGCCCCACGTACCGAAGGTATCACGGTGGGGCCGCAACCTCGGTCGGAGAGATCTAAGAGGTACTTGACGAGCACGTCGGTAGTCAGCGGGATCACCACTAGGTTCTGCGACCTCGCCCAACCTGGGAGTCCGTTTGACCATAATCTTGGTGGCCATACCCGGAGCGTACACGAAACAAGCCACAAGTGGGCAATCATTTTTTTCATGGACATACGGTTTTGGGAATTGGTCGTTCCTGAGCATCCTACACATCTTGAGCACAAACGCTTGAGCCACACGAAACCTTCGAAAGGTAAGCATCATAGCATCACATGCCTTTAAGTACACATCAAGAGCATCACAAGCGCTTGAGCCTCACGTATTGAGCCGTGAGCATCAAGAGCAAAGGAAACGCTTGAGCCAGACAAAAAAAAGAGCCCTAACATTTATAGCATCATGGGCATCAGAGCGGAAACCTTGAGCCATGTACCTGGGCAGGGTTAAGGATTTAGGGTCTTTAGGGGCTTTAGGGTCTTGTGGTTGTATTTAAATATACGTATATATATATATATATGTCACATATCCACATATGTACACACACACACACACTCGAGAAAGCCCTTGACTCCCTGAAAGCTGTTGGTTTTGGGTTCCGGGTTTGGGCTCGGAGGTTGAGTTCGGGTTTACGGCTATGGGGGTTAATTCGAGGGGGCTGAGGTTTGGGATTTTGATTGTGCTTGAATTCTGAATCCGCGAGGGAGAGGGATCGAGAGAGATATGCTTCGAAGTGTCGAAGAGATTTGAAGCTTCAAAGCCCCAATGTATGCACCAATCCTGCAGTCGATCTTCTGAACCCCGGGCCCCGGGATCCTGAATCTAATTTTAGGCCAATTTAGGCTTTAAAGCCTGAAAGCCCTCGCCCCCTATGTGAGCATCGACGAGCTGGCCGTCCTGGGATCGGCCGGGCCCTCATTTTTCCACGGACTGCCTCGAAGCTCGACGGTAGACCCAAAAGCCACCTTTGTAACAGACGCTCTTCGGCAGTCCGTCGGTCTGTGCCCCGCAATGTCTTCATAAGATGCTTGAGAGCATCTTCGTCCATCCAGGTCGAGTAACAATGCGGGTTTACACAGCCGTTCTTTACAAATAGGTGGTGCAGCAAGTGGAGCTTTGGGCGGATGCGATACAATCGTCTCTCCTCGCCAATTGCCTCCTCTGCTAAATCACAATAGGATCTCAAATACAGCATGCCAGCTTCGCGCACATTGCGAATCTCATCACCAGTGAGAAATCTCCCGGTCGAGTTCGACCAAAGAGTGATGCAATGATTGCTTGCCCACAATGCCAAAATGAGTCGTCGATCCAAATTCGAGGTGTCCGTCGAATTATAAGTCTCATGCAACAAAAACTGCTGCACGACGTAGGAGTCGAAGCCAGGACTCTTCCTATTTGGGTACTTCAAATCATTTATACTAAATCTATTTGTTTAATACTACTTTCAAAAATACAGATTGAGAAAAACCAGAATTGCAGCCGCGGTTCAGCTCCGGGTACTTGTTCGCACCCGTCCAGTTCAGTTTTTTTCTCGTGAGTTTCTTCAAGCGAAGGTTCAGCTTGTTGCTTTGGGCATACAGCTTGAGTCGACGTGTAGCTTCAGCCAGCTTAGCCGGGATGGTTCCCAGTCCAAAAAACCCAGCCATGATCATTATAACAATGGCTGATCCCAAGAGGTCTCTTCCACAGCCCAGGTGGTAGCAGTGCAAAATATCAGGAAAGATAAGGCTTGGATGGAAGCCCGCCAAACTGTGATAAGCTGGTCTGTAGGTCCAGGGCTCTTGCTGATAAAGCGTTTGCATGTACGGCGCTGTATGTAGGTTTGTAAACACCATTGCATCATCCTCAGCGCCTTTGGTCGCTTCGCACATCCAGCAGATCTTGCAAAGGGAATGCATCACAAAATGACGAGGAAGATCGTTTATGGGGCTTAATGGCCTATACTTCTGGATTCCCTTTGTTTATGATTATAACTATTATTGCTAGATGATGGTAAAAAATAGCCACACGGAGAACTGTTCGTGTTGTTGAACTGAAGTCTTGAGTCGAGCCCGCCTTGTCTCGGTCGGCATAGCGGTTGAAGTTGAAGGATTGCCGAAGAGCCTTCCAGTCGCCGCGAAAGCCAGCCACGAAGAAATGTAGCCGGATCACCTGGGATACATTAGGAATGGAACATGTTCGAATCCAAATCCAAACCCTGTATACTGTATTCTTGCTAAAGTACATTTGCTTATGGCAGTCAGAGCACAGGTCCTCCTCCCATTGAGGGCAAGTCGTGCAAAACCAGACCCTCGTTCGAAAGCTTGTTGAAGCTTTGCGTAATTTCCCAGCAGGCTGCTTGCAGAGTCAGGTTCGTACCATCACCACTCAACACATACCTTGATACCGGTATGATTGCACATAGGAATCGCGATGAGGCAGAGTGTCCCGGAGCCGGGTGCAGGTCACTTGTAAACATAAGAAACATCCAGGTTTCGTTCACAGCTGTAGCTTCATCACCTGTGCCCATGAGAAGTTTCTTAAAAACCAAATAGATAAGGTTATTATAAACTAAGAAAATAACCTACGTCCCCACATCTAGAAAAGCACCAAACCCAAACAGCTGTGCCTTCTTATATAATAGCTCAGTAGCAGTAGAGGGTGCATGGTATGGAGGTGCTCATTTTATCCCTTGCAGGGTGCCCGGGGTGCTCGCGAAGAAAATTTGTCCAGTAGTCGGGAACCATATCCCAGTCAGCCACCAGCATATCAAGATGACCATGACGGGCCATTGCAGCAACCTTATTTGATTAATTCGCGTGTACTATTTACATATCAGAAGTACACACTAGCATAACCCAGCTAGCTGCAGTCTAAGCTCGAAGTTGTGCGGCAATATCATCGGCCAGTCTCGCCAGACTACTTTGTCATCATCCAGCATCGGCAGAGAAACCTGTGACACCTCGCAGTTCAAAGCCAGCCCCTGCTTAGCGGCTCGTTCATGAAGTCCTTGCTCCTTGCTCCTGAGGTTCGACACAACGAACGACGATCATCGTATGCGGAGGTGCTCGGGCTTGAACGTAACTTTCAGATTAAGTCAATAAGTTTAAACCATGCATCGATTTCAAGAGGTTGCTGCCCACCGCAGCACCGATCTCTGCAGCATGCCTGACTGATGCATAGCCACGTCCAATGGTTTTTGCCAGCCTGAGCTTGTGAGAGACACTACATCATTGCCGGTCTAACCCCATAAAAGCCGAGTAACACCCGATCCACCTCATCTCGTATCGAAGAAATCTCTGAACCTGCGTGGGTTCACACATTGGGTTCAGCTCATAATCACAACATGCAGCTAGCGGTACAAAGTGCCAATGCAATGCTTTTTTTGCAGCAGTCTTGAGGTCACGATCTTGTGGCATCGAGCACAGCACACTGGGCTATCCAGCATGTTCAGATCGTTATCGTATGCTCCAATAGCAAGCCGAGGGAATCTATGGCACATATCTAGGTACCATCACCCCTGCTTCAAAAGCACAGCTAGGGGGCACAGGCTATCCCCCACAACGAAGTCATAAAGGGTCGAGCGGTTCATATGATTTGTTGGGTCTGAAGAATATTATCCAGCCATACGTACAACCTTCGATGCAGAAGCGGTGTGCCCTAGACCCCACAGTCCTCCCACACAGGACTGTTCTACTTGGTCTCCGAAGCAGATTTGCGCTGGAGCTCAGCTGCCACAGCACGGACCTGTGCTCGCACCATCCGGGTGTTTTCGACCTTGGTGGGCATAAGGGTTTCGGGCTTGGCTTCTAAAGGGGTGCACATACTGTTTAGATTGCAATCTAGCAGCCAGTGCTTTGCACTCGTCGACGAAATCCTCGGCATCATCATCCGCCACACTCCTCAGCCTCAGATCATGGGACCCCATTATTATGTATAAGTGTAGTGTAGCCAATGCATGCGTGATTATTTAGAGCTTCTACAGCTGGGGTTGGGTATGTAGGCAGCTAGGTAGCTCATCCAGCCGGTTTTCCAGATCGCCCTTTTTGCCTTCCATGTCCTTGCGCAAAGCATGGTCCTTCGGCAGGTCGTAGCAAATATTCGCGGCGTTGTACTCTTTCTTCAGCTCTTTGCCTGAGTTGGGAAAAGCTTGATTGGTTTTTGTATGGGGGCTTTGAGGGTCCAGTGGTTAAGACGAACCGAGACACGGCATTCATCCAAAAGCTCTTTGGGTGTCTTGGGCGCCTGGATCAAGGCTTTTGCCTTGGCTTTGGCCTTGCTTTTCGGGTTCCTCTTGGGGGCGGCGGCGGTGGCGTCGGCCGATCCTCGGTGCGTAGAATCAGGTAGAGCAGGAGTACACCACCAAACCGTGCATGCGTGGAACCTTTACCTCTAGCCCCTCAATGCTGACTCGGTGCCCGAAGCAAAAGCGTTCGCAGCAAGCTGCAAAACTGCATCGGTGGCGCCCGAGGTCGATCCAGGCCCCGGCATTCCGTTCAACCTCATCAACGGGGCCACGGCCTTGGCACTGGCCTTCATCTTCGACTTGATTTCGCCGGTCTGGGAAACCTTTTCGGATTCTTCCACGTTCTTCTTCTTCCGGCAAACATACACGATGGATTCGAGGCAGTGAGGGGCGTCGGGGTCAGGGGTTCCACCCTTTCTGACTATGCTTTCGATCTTTGTCCTTAGATGAGGAGGCAATAGCATCTCAGAGTGTTGTGTGTAAAGGATTGATAGTAATATTGCAAACATTGCAGTGCAATCAGGGTTCGCACTGAATCCTCTCGCAACCATCTCCTTCACGGTGGGCTCCTCATAGCCACTCTTCACCTCGGCCGATTTCGTCTTGGTGATGATCAGCTGGGCCTCCGTGTTGTTCATGTTCTCGCCCTCCTCGAGCCATTTCGCGAACACTTCGTGCTGTTCCTCGGCTAGGGTGCACATCTCTATACACTCGAGATGTAGATGAGCATGCATGCTATAACTCGACAGGTTTCGTCTTTGCTTCCGGTCCACAGCTTAGTCATTTCGGGGAACTCCGAGCCCTTGCTGTCCATTCGCCGACCGAACTTCATCCATTGAGCACGGTGGGTCGACGAGTTGGGCCCCTTAGGCTTGTTGGTCTTGGCCACAGAGGTTGTGGCAGGCGGTTTGCCCTTTGGTGGCGGGGTCTCGTGGTCTTCATCCCCCTCCTCTTCCTCTTCATCATCCTCCTCTTCGCTTTCATGCTCCTCCCCGTTCTCATCCTCCCCATCCGACTCCTTCTGCTCGTGCTTAACCGAGGCTTTCGCAGGCGGGGCCGGCGGTGCGGCCGGCGGTGCGGCCGGCGGTGTGGCCGGCGGGGCTCCCGGGTTCGCATCCTTCGTAGCCAGCATGGCCTTCAGCCTAGTGATCTCTGACTGCATCGTTGCCACGAGACTTCGTAGCTCGCTGTCGCTGCCTGCTTGAGATGCACTCACCAACCTCAGATCGCTCTTGCATCAGGGGATTTAATTAAATCGGCAGGCAGCATGCAAGGCAAAGTACATAGTAGAACAACTGCATGCAGTGCATGACACCCTTCATGCGGATCCTCCGCGGGAACCGCACCAGCCTCCGAGGCTGGACGACTCCCGTATGCCTGCTCATCGGTGAGGTGGGCACCCAGCACCAAAGTACTCAGGGACCTCAGTTGATCAATGCATTCGATGCAGTGCACACTTCGATTGAATATGTAAGTCATCGGTTGCATGTAAACAATCAAGGACCGATTGTTGCAAGCACGGGGGCTGTTCGGACTTCGACCGCCGTACACGATTGAACTTGTTGTTCAGGTCTGTTGGCTTCACCTCTATACAGGATTCATTAAGATTTGGCAACAACATGTATACTTTCGGGCTTTAGGGTTTTAGGGTTTTTAGGTAGGGCCTTTAAGGCTTTTAGGGCTTTAGTGAGAACAAAGCATTTTGTGACGGGCCTGTTCGGGGCTCTCGGAGCGGGCTTTCTCCTTCGTTGCAGGGCTGGGGATGCCATTCCACGTGTTGATCTTCGGCGGGCTTGTGGTTTCAGGCGGTGGCTTGGAGCTAGAACTGCTAGGAAGCGGTTTCTTCACTTCCTCCACCTCTTCCTCTTCCTCATCCTCTTCTGCTTCCTCCTCCTCCCCTTCCTGGTCGTCTTGCTCCTCGTCATCACCTTCCTCCTGAGACTGCTCTTGCTCCTGTGTTTGTTGCTGGTCAACTGCTGATGCCACAGGCTGTTGAGGTTGCTGCTGAAGAGAGGCACCCGGGTCCTGTGTTGGAGGACGAGCCCCTAGAGCTTTTTCCATCATCTGCACAAGTGCATCGTACTGCATGTCTCTGTACATCGGCTTGTCGGAAGCCTTGCAAGCTCGCCACACATCATCCAAGTTTTTCCAGCTCACCACGACATTAAGCCCCGTCTCGAAGAACTCCTCGCCCCAAGCCCCGGGTTTCTCAGGTGGAAACTCCTCGAACGGACCCAGATCCTCATCGGCAGATGCCTCATCCTTAGTGGCATCCTGGGACTGCTCCTTGCTGGGTTTCTTCGGCTCCTTGGTGGGTTTGCTGGGTTTCTCCTGGGACTGCTCCTTGCTGGGTTTCTTCGGCTCCTTGGGGGGTTTGCCGGGTTTCTCCTGGGATTTCTCCTTGCTGGGTTTCTTCTCCTGCGGCTGCTCCTTGTTGGGTTCCTCCTGCTTCTCGGTGGGGTTCTTGCCGGCTTGGTCCTTGCTGGGTTTCCCTTTCTTCGGGGGCTTCTCTTCATCGGGCTTCTCAGCTTCTGCTTTGGCATCAGCCTGTTTGCGCTTGCTCCGGGCTCGGGTCTCAACCTTAAGCTCCTTCTGAGATCGCTCAGCTGCTGGGGCTTCTGAAGCACCACGCTTTAGCAATCCCTTGCTTTGAAGCATAGCCATAACATCAGCCACTTCCGGCGGGTCCGCCGCCGCACTCTTCTTTCCCATTGCGCTCTAGCACAAACTACGTACTGCTAAATTGGCAGCTAGGGCCCAACACGTGAAGTCACGTGAAAAAGAACATCAGAATTCACACCCAACAGCTTTGCCAAACTTAAGCAACGTGAAGAAGCGTGATTTCGCATGAACGTGCATCCAGGACACTCAGCAAAAAGGCTCCGCGTGAACTCACATTTTTCACGCTGGGTTCACGGTCGTTGGTTACTTCTCACGGCGCTTTCACAAGAATTCACGGCCAGCTGGCTTAGCACACAGCATAGGCCATTGTAGCTGGCAGTAGCCTAAACTACCCCCTTTAATTATGATCAAGAGCTCAAAGCCCAGGTTCAGCCACCCAAGCCGATCATCGAGAGCACATTGGCCTGGGATCCCAGCAGGAGATATATTTGTGAATTTTCGGGGTTCTTGTACTCTTTATGACATAATAAGCCAGGATACCCAATTTCCAGGGAGCTCCAAGGATTTTGATTTGGACATATACATAAGTACATCGATGGCTTTTGCCTCGGATCGGGATCAATGGGGAAGGGTACATATCGCAGTTCAAGCATAATCGAACCCCTATATATAATTCAAAGTAAGCCACATCAGGCCAAAGATCCCCCAATCCATTAATGCCCCGCTCCGACAAGCACTCCTGCACGAAGAGCTCATAATCGGATTTCCGTAGATCATCAGCTCCCAATCCCGGGAGGCGGTTCTCAGGAACGAAGGGCTCCTGAGATATTCGAGGCTATGGAATTATAATTAAGTACAATTATGTCATATTGCACCCATACAATGTAGCTGCAGTAATGGTGCCGACCGGAGGTTCAGGAAGGCACCAGCCAGGAACTCACCAAAGTTCCTCGTGTAGTTCCTTAGCTCAGAAGCTGTTTTGCGGCATGTTTCCAAGCGGTCTGGGCCTGAGCTAGCTAGCATTGGTCGAGGATCTGAGAGGCTTTCAGTTCAGCTCTTTTGCCAATTCGTCGCTGTACTCCCAGTGAGTCCTTGTAGTAGTGGCACAACGGCTGGAGTGTCGACATCTTACCTGGCGTCATTCGATCAGCTCGGTCCATCACGGCTTGAATCAACTTTGGTTCGTTGCTCCAGAGTGTATGTCGCTTCGCTGATGGCCCATTGAACATACCCATCCAGAAGCCTCCAGTCCAGACCTCCCAGCGTGAAAGCTTGACTGTCGGTTTGATTGCATGCAGACCCATAATTAAATTAAGAAACCCATGGCCTTGAGGGAGCGCAACAACTGTTGAAATCGAGGCATAGCAGGCAGGAAAGACCGACAAGGTTGCTCCACCACCCATCGAAGACCCCGAAGTTGGCACACGAAGATCAGCAGAATCACTCTGCTTGAAAGCACATTGCCCTCGGAGACAAACGGAAATTGTTCATTTCCATACGGTCGAAATATTGACCGTCCAGACGTATGACGGCACCTGAGATGCAAGAGTTCGGTAGCTCTGATTACAATGCATTGCAATACGGAAATTGCAATCGATATGCATGGTGCTGAAGCTCCTGCAGTCCAGTGCCAGAAGTACCAAACCGCCCGGCCGGCAGCGTAGGATTTCCAGGAGGGCCAGACTTAGATAAGCCGGGAAGAATCGTGTGTTGTGTAATACCTGATATATAGAAGCATAGGTGGTTTACTTTGGGATCTCATTATATAATGAGGAGACAGTCTAGTATGGTTCGGGTTTCCATATTGCTAGAAGTACTTAAGGTGATAGCTGAGGGAAACAAATAAATATATATATATATATATACATATATATCATACATGAAGAATGGTTTGTTCGGAGTTTGTTGTATATGTTATTATCTACAGGACATTACGACGATGCATGGAAGGTACGGCTGCAGTGCTAGTACAGTTTTATGTTCTCGCCGAAGGATATGTTCTTAATCTTTCGATCATACCCACATACGATGCTATACTCTAGACCGTGGAATAACCACTGTGACATACAAAGTCCTCAGTGTTTTGGTGTTGAACTATCGCAACACTGCTATACCGCTATACCACATAATGATCGAATGTTGCGATCCTCCTGTGCGTGCTATGGGTGGCCAACTAATAATTGCAACACAAGCAGCCAAAAGCCCGCCGGCTTCAGGAAATCCATCGTCTGCGGATCCAGCTCGATGTCGAGGGAGGTGCCGCGGAGTCCTGCCTGGGCTAAGTGGGGTTTTTCGAGCCGCGGGCATAGGTTAGTAACCCCAACAGTCGTTTTAGTTCGATCGAGTTGCACGGCGTAGTGCATGAGATACCTCCATCTTACCACAAAACAGCTCGACGAAGTCCCGGTCCTCCCAAAGTTTAAGTTTGCAACACACATACACATACAAATGTGCTAACTTTCTACTGGTTATGGTCCTGAACACACGGCGCTTTTGGGTACCACATCAGCAGGATGACCATAAGCATAAGGACAGGCGGGGCCCGCATCGCGAGCAGCTCAGACACAACCATGGTCACAGCTATAATAGGGGCCCCTCAGTATATCACCGGCTCCCCAGGCTAAGCTCAAGTCTAGATCCATGAAGCACACGCAGTACAGAGCAAGCTCGAATTGAAGCACATGTCGCTTGCAACACAGCATCCCTTGCGATCTCCGGACATGCATTGCTCACTCTCTCTCTCACGACAGTCTTTCACAGCCACAGTGCGATTTCCCGTTAAGAGCCCATTGCATGCGACAACACGTATTAAACGTGCCCACCTGCAGCAGAAGCCCATAATAATTAGGGTGCATGGCAGCCCAGGCCTGCAATCGAAACCATGACAACAAGTTGTATGATCCTGTGCTACGAGGCTTCAATGTATCTGTATGCAGTATGTAGCTACGTACAGGCCATGGCAAAAGCGCATGTTTCATCGAAAATCATGTCCCGCCCACTGCAGCAAGCTTCGCCTGCTTGACGATCTTGACAAAAGGGTTTTCAGTGGCTTCTTTGGGAACGAACTTCCTTTTCTTAAGCTCCCGTAAGCTCACACCAGCCAGCATCCTAGCCTTCTGAAGCGACGAGTTCCACATATTAGCTGCCTCCTTGTTGCCATGCTGTGGAGCGTGTGTAGCGATGTACGTTAGTCGCTTCTCACCATAGAGGTTGGGCACGTACTGATCGTATAAGTCCGGGTCCAGCTCCTCCGTCTCGGGCTCCGTTTCTTGGGAACCTGCCTTGCTCTCGGGCCCCGTTTCTTTGGAACCTGCCTTGCTCTTGGGCCCCGCTTTTTTGGAACCTGCCTTGCTCTTCGGCTTCGTAGCTTTCTTGTTCCCCGCTTTTTTGGGCTTGGGTTCATGATCCTCAGGCGGCTCGTGAATGCCATCCACATCCTCAGCATCGAAGGCCCCTGCGTACTGGCTGGACAAGGGGAACCCTTTCGAAGGTTCAGGCAGCCACGTGGCGAGGTCAGCGAAAACCTGAGATGCAATCGATCGCTGTCTAAATGTCTAGATCTAGGTGTTTCTCGGATCATGTATGAACCATATGCACTGTAATGGCAGCTGAGAAACCCGGGAAGGCAGGATCTTTTCGGGCTTGTTGCCGGAGGGGATATGAGCAGGCTGAGCAGGCTCCGAATCGGCTTTCCCAGCAAAGTCAAACAAGCTTGCCGTAGTCGTGACAGTGGACCCGACACTCGGACCCGGAGAGCCCTTGCTCAGCAAACGAAGACCCTGAAGCTGCGAAGCCAAACGACTCACCTCAGAATCACGGACCGACAGGCCGCCGCTCGACAACGTACCCGACGTGGAGGAGCCGCTACTGGATCCCGAAGCCAAAGACAAGGTTTCAAAGGAAAGCATCCGAATCCCCGGTGCAGGTGCAGCAGGCACACCATCATTCGAGTCTTCATCGTCATGATCTTTGTCACCCTTGTCCTTGCACACCTTAGGTTTAGATGCAGTACATGTTGCCATGCAATCGTACCAATGCATCATGCACTCGACAATGAGAATGTGGATTGATAAAAGACAAGTGACCAAGCTTGCGGTCCTTGGAAGTCTTGGCCCTCTTGCAAATCCGCCGGGTGCGGCCAACCTGAGCTGGCACACAACACTTCACTAGTCACTAGTCCTGAAACCACATGCACTGAACGAATGGCACGATATCAATCAGCAAAGCCACTATAGCCTCTTCAAGGCATTGCCATGCTTCAAAGCCCAGGTTTGGGTACACTCAGCATCTGCACATAGCCCAGCCGGAAACAAGTGGTTATTGGTGTAGAACTTAAGGATCGCATCCCGAAGCATATAGGCACTCAATCGGCTCGCCCCATTCGTAGCCTTGACCACTGCGAAGATTGCCTCAGAAGGGTTCCCAAATGTCTCAATGTTTAGAATTGAAAGGGACCTGCATGCACACACATTCTATGCAATCCAAGTACATTCTGATTGCACCGCACATCTTTCAAGCTCGGCTTCTTTGTGAAGAGCTTGCCCGAGTGGTTGCAAAGGAAGCCAAGCCCCACCTGCCGGGTCGTATGTGCTGTGTGATGCAAACTAGTAACTAGCAGCTCTACTTAAGCTAAGTCTGTGCGCTTGTGTGTGCGTGTGTTGTGCGTGTATATGCAAGCATGAACGAATGATGGAATCTTTGGTGGAATCAGTGCATGTTTGTACATAAGTATTATATTCGTATGTGTGCGTATGATATGTATATATGTATGTGTGTATGCGTGCATGCATGCATGCATGCATGCATGCATGCATGCATGTATGTATGTATGTATGTATGTATGTGTACACGTAGTTATGTATGTATATACATACGTATGCATGTATGTACGTATGCCTGGAAGTATGTAACTACGTATATATATATATATATATATATATATGTATATATATGTGTGTAAGCTTCCATGCGTACATTTACGTGAATTTATGTTGACATCATATGTAAGCACACCACCGCTAATACCGCAATCAAAGGCTGATCAAATGAAGCTAGCAGTGGGAATGCAGGATCGGGCGAGCCTCCTTCAGCCCTGGCTCCTGTGCGAAGGCGGCCGCCACAGCTTCCACCATTTTGGTCGAGGTCGTCATCTTTATAAGCTTAAGCAGCAGTGCGGGTGAGCCGGGCTTCAAATTAAAGAGCACCTCTAGTCCTCCAGTGGATGGTTCTATGCGTTTGCTAAATGCTACACAGAACACTACACAGCACAAACCCTGGGCCCGGCTGCAGAATTCTCAATCTGAAGCGATGGCCACATGCAGTGCATCAAAACTGAATGTCAGAGCACTTCGCAGAACTGATCGGCACAAAGCGTGGGGCTGGGAAGCACCTGTTGGCAACGATGTAGCGAGGTCCATGAGGGTCGCCATCCATACGTACCTGTCGCGATAGAGCCCATATCTTTTGGTCATGTTTTCTGATCTCAGAACGTAGATCGCTGCATTATGCTCTGTCGGGTTTAGGCCTGCACTGGGGAGCCTAGGTACATAAACCTGTTGAGATAGGGAGTACCGAGATAGAGTAAATAGGAAATTACAGTCCAATGCAAGATCCAAACTTGCGATGGTTGTCGGGATGTACATGATAGGAAGGTTTTGGGTGTTGGAAGCTTCAGGTTTATTAGCTCGAGGCCGTGAAGATTCATCTATCGTCTTGGAGTGTATGTTGTAACCCCCGAGAAAAACCCGGAAGCTCCAGGACTGTAAATGGCCTGCATGTAGCCGCCGACACCCCCCCTATAGCCCCAAGTCAAAGGCCCTATTGAAAAATGATCCTGAGCCTGCACACCCTGAGCTTCAATTCAAGACAAACCCGGTACTAGCTAATTGCCCCATTGGGGCACGTCCACCCACTGCAGGCTCACTGCCCGGCCATTCGATCACCGTCGAGCTCGACGGCACACAGTATGTCTACGTTAAGGTTTGTTGTTCTACGTTAGGGTTCGGGGTTTAGGGTTAACGTAGGGTTATTCTTAATTATGTCGGGGTACGGTAAGCGACGACATCTTATGTTTGTAAGAACCTGATCGATGCAGCTCTGGATGGGCTGCAAGTTCGTGCATATGTGCACATAGGTACGTGTGCATGCATGCATCCATAACTAAATCCACATATGTCACATATACATGCATATACATACACGAACATACAAGCATGTATACATATGGGATGAATATAGACCATGCAATACTATATCAAGTACCCCATATGTACACATAGAGCAGGAGAGCTCCAAAAGCGCATGCTGGTGAAGTATCTATCATAGAGCACATATGTCTGTATGACGTGCTGATTTGGCTGAAGAGGCAAGATCGCTGAGCCTCCTGTGGCCTTGCGGTCGGACGATCGCAGAATCAAATACAAGAATCGACAACAGGCAAAATGTTAATTGCCAGCTTTGGATCATGATCCCAATCATGCAATCGGTCGCAATGCATGAATCTGAAATACGTGGCCGACATCCGAAATCGAAAGGGGCCAAGAATTAAGCCTTGATCACTAGCTGCGTTTGTTCAGTCGGCAACATTCGTTGCCCCCATTGGATATCGGCAACATTCGTTGCCCCCACTGGAATATATGAGTGAGAGAGCTCGAGAGAGAGCTCGAGAGAGTTATATGTATATGTATATATATATATATGTATATGTCGTAGGGCCTCTGTATATGTTGGGTCAAAGCCTTAAAATGCCCGGTATATATATATATACTATATGTGGGCATATATTAAGGCTTTGAGCGTCTTTCTTCTTTTTTTCTCCCGGATCGAGCCGAAATTCAGAAGTTTGTCTTTCTTCTTTTGAGCCAAAATCATTCTAGAGCTATAGGTTTGAACCGCCCGTTTGGCCGATCTGGGTATAAACGGATTAAATCGAACCGCTGTGGGGGTGTGACACGCTAAATGTGCAAAAGACTTTTTTTGCACAGAAACAAACCCCCAAACACAAAGTGAAACTTCACAAGCTATTGCTTCACGCGCTGTACAATTCATAGCCAATGAATTCTGTACATTCACAAGCTCACCATGTGAATTCCCAGCCCCGCGTGAATTCACAAGGCCCCGTGTGAATTCACACTGGTTTCGTGGCCATATGGTTTTTCACGGTCAATGTCTTTTTTCACGGTCATTTGGCCATGCGGCCTACGTACACCTATATTACGGTCAAACGGACTCCCAGGAAGTCTCAATCCTCTCCCAGTGACGAACGCACTGCTGGATAGTGCGGAAACCGCCACTCTCGAAGACGATCAACCTCAATGCATTCATCTCATCTTGAGACAGGGGTGATCCCGGCTTCGGGTTGCCCGCGATCGCGGCGTGCTCGCCGCACCTCTCCACGATCGCTTTCAGCCTCATGCCCCACTTTCGGGCCTCGCCGAGCTCACGGGTTTTGAGCGATGCCTGCGGATCTTCAGGCCTCGGCTCGATCGCCCGCGGCCTCTTGGCGAGCGGCAATGGCATAGGAGGCTCCTTGCCAGTCCCCTTCGACTTCAGTGGCGATCGCCCGAAGACGACCGGAGCTTCAGCCAAGCCGAATCCCAGATCAGTGGCCAGATCAGCCCAGCCCGCTGCTGCCGTGCTACGAACCAGCACAAACAACAGCTCGATCGACGGAACCCACCTGCCGAGCTCCTCCTCGTTCTTCCGCCGATCTGGCGTGTGGAGTTCCTCGAGGGCAGGGACAAGATCAATGAATGCTTGCACACACTCAGCGATCGTCCCGTCCGAAACAGCCGTGAGCTTCTCGAACTGAGCCATCCGAAGATCCACCAACCATTGGCAAAATTCATCCCCGAACAGGGGGAGGGATAGGATCTTCCGAACGGACCTATCCATGCTGGGCCTGAACAGCTGCACGAACGATCGCACGTGCCTGCTAATGGTAACCGAGCGCCGTGCCTGAGACAGGTATTGATCAATCTCACTTCCGGCAGAACATGCGCTGGGATCTAGCGCGCCGAGAGGATCGCTCGGCATGTTTGTTCCGCGGAAGAGCCCGGCTGATCCGCCAGGAGGCTTCGGTCGCGCGGCGCACCACTCTCTTAGGAGCGTGCACAAAAACCGACCATCACCTAGGCTTCGATCGACAACTACTCCGAATTGTCCATCGTGTAGGGCCCCGTTGACGATCTGGCCGGCGGGTAAGCCGGGGCGAACGCCTTCGGCACCGTGGTCGTAGTGGAGGGGGAAGCCGTGATCTCTTGGCCCGTCTCCTCCACCCTGACCGTGCTGATCCGCTCGTACTCCGCCTGCTCACGGTGCTGGAGCACGTCGGTGAAAACCTGAGGCGTGATCGCAGCCGACGTGCGCGAGAATCGCATGTCGGCCCTCATGCGATCGCGGGCATCGGTGACGACCTCCTCGGCAATCTGCTCCTGGCCGAGCTGGCCCTCCTCCGGCACCGGAACAGTGCTCACCCTCTGGTCGAACACCTGCTGAGCCGAGGTGGGCATGTTGGTGATCGCCGAAGTGACCGAGGAGCCCAGCTGCTGAACCGCCTGCCGAGCCGCCTCTTCCATGAGAGCCGGGGGGCCGTTCCGAGCTCGAACGGCGTTGTTCTCATCGTGCGACCGGTGGGCGAGCGCCTCCTGCCGGACGAACTCCAGTGGGCAGACCCTGAGCTTAGATCTAGCCCGTACGTGGAAGTTCCCATGATCCATCGGGAACTCGTCTGTCGCAGTTCCCACTTGCCCCTGTTCGTTGGCGAACGCACTGTGGTACCAGGGGGCGATCACCGCAGACAGCTGCGCGAACTGCTGGATGTGGTCTGGACCTTCCACGCGAGCACGCTGGTTCCGACAGGCCTGGATCGTGTTGATCAGAGCGGGGCCCGAGATGTGGCTGACTGTGAGCCACGTGCCAGGCACCGAAGTCCTCCCGCACTTGAGATCGATCCGGTTATTGGCGTCCCGGAACCGAAACTCAACACGATCGGCGTCGTTCCCATAGCCTTCTCGGGACGAGCGTTCTGTCACCCTGAGCTCACAAGTGCTCATGGCATGGTCGCTCGCCATCACTGCTCCTCTCGGGCCGATCGTGTAGACTCGGGCTCCAACCTCGAACGAGGTCACGGAGACCTTCCATCCAACGAAGACCGAGATGACGATCGAGGGTCGGAACCATCCTTCGTTGGCTGACCGGATCAACACCTCGTCACAGAACTGCTGCTGGACAGAAAGATCCGAGTCCGAGCGGTAGCCCCTGAAGACCCAATGGAACAGGACCTCGTTTCCATTGAAGACCTTCACATCCACATAGGTGGCCGAGGTATCGAACATCACCGGCCAAGTGAAGGGCTGGAAAGCCGGGTGCGATAGCGCCCGACTCGCGTAGGAGTCCCACTGAGCACATGGTCCCCCTGTTCTCGAAGACATCGAAAAGAGCAGAACTGCCTTGATGCCATCGAGCGTATAGTTCGCGAACAGCGAACAGTGGTAGCCCGAGTTCGGGGGCATGACCGAGTCCCGCTCCGTCAGCACATTGATCGAGCTGGCGGCATTCGAGATGATCTCCTCGGCCAGCCAGTTCTGGAACGGGGAGATCACCCGGTCATCGCGGTTGTCGATGACGAGGAGCGAGTTCTGGGTCTCGTCCTCTTCCTCGACCACGAGCTGGCGAACGAACTCAGGCCGCTGAACAGCGAAGGGGTTGTGAGCAGCAGGAGCCCCACGGTCACGACGTCCACGACGATCGTCGCGACCCCAGCCTCCAGAGCCCCAATCGCCGGATGCGGCAGCTGGAGCCGCGGGATTCTCGGGAGCCTCTGCCTCGCCTGGAGTATAGAATCCCCAGTTTCCCGGATTCTCAGGCTGACCAAGCCGGCGAGGCAACCCGAACTGGGGAGCCACCGGGGCCGCCATCTGCCGACCTTGAGCGAAGCCAGCGGGAGGGAACGACATTGCTGCACTGGAGCGATCTATCCTGTTCCTCCCACGCCGAACTTATTTTTCGGTATGGCCCGATCGGCTATCGCCAAAATGGCCACGGAGAAGATAGATCAAGTCTGTTCCAACGATCGCGAAACTGATCTCCTAATTCCTACCCACCAGACCGATAATTAGGAGACATATATATATATATATATATATACATACATACATATACATATGCATATACATATACATACGCATATACGTAGTCATGTGCAGATGTAGACGTAAATCTAAATGTACATGTACATGTACATAGAGTTGTTATGTATGTGGACACCTGCATGTGATGTTCCAGTGTATGTATATGTAAGTAAGTAGTTATGTATGTACATGTATGTACATCCAATGTACGTACGTACGTATGCATAGAAGTGTGATGTATGTCTGTACTTATGAACGTGACGGTAAGCATTTGTCAAGCGGAATGTGCCTGTTTCGGCCAGGGCACTCTTCTACCTGGGCGCTGGGCGCTAGCCCGGCCTCGTAGGATTGCTGGCGGCCCTCGGGCGTCAGCTCCACCTGCCATGCTGTCCCTTTGGTGCAACAATCGGTGCTCGCCGACTTTTCATACTTCTACGGCAAAAGCCCCTCCATCCTCGCTTGCTTCCAGGCAGAATTGGACGACAGTACGTTGGGATAGGTTGGGCCCACCCTGGCCCTGGCCTCCTCGATATCCTGAAGCTCGGATGGACGGTAAAGATACCTTGACATGTTTCGTATCGATTTGGAGGGCTTGAACCGAGCTTGAGCTAGAAGCTCGGAGCATTGGCACTAATATGACCGGGAAATTAAAGGGAGTGTCCTGGCAGGGTCTATGGTCGCGAAGACTTGGGCTCTCTGAGCCCAGCGGCTCCATGAGCTCCTGGAGCGGGGCCTCGCCACCCTTCTCCTTCCAAGCCATTCGGAGTGAAGTGTGGTGTGCAGAATGGGCTTCTAAAAAGGAGGTTTCCACTCCGCCTTCGGCCGGGGCCAGGTGTCAGGCGATGGGTAGCTCAACATGACCCAACTACACGGCTTGCAAGAAGAAACCCTTTCTGATCCGAAGGAAGCCGCATGCCTGGAAACTCGCTATCCGCTGCCAATGGGCCACCGCATGCAGGCATAGATTTCGGAATTAATACGCTTCCTACACCCAACACCGAAAGCCGGGGGAAGTGGGCTCCATGATGAAGCTGGCTGCACGGAGCGCCCGGTAGAGCCGGAAGTGGAAAAGCCGGTAGCTGTCGACCCAGAGGTCCTCACGGAGAAGCGGACTTCCGTGAAGTGACGAAGCGATTCCACCCATTTTAAACCCGTACTGAGAATCCTGAACCCAATACCCTATAGAGTCCTAAAGGCTAAACCCCAAAGGCCCTAAACCCCTATACCCTACACCGTGACCCCTCTTGACCCCCCCTGTGTAGCGGCTCTCGGTCCCCATTGGGTGTCATCCGGAAGCCCGCTTTTGGAAGCCAGCGGTTCAAGGCGTGCGAGGGCTTCAAGGCCAGGGCGCGCAGCACCGCCTCTGAGAAACGAACATGCGCTCGAACTCGCATGGAGAGACGTCTGCTGAGGGCCCTAGGAGGCAACTTCATGTAGTCTGCAGGCCACTTCAAACGCATCGTCGGGGGCCTCGAATGGAAGCACCCCATCCCCGGCGCTCATGAGGAGACCCTCGATTCCTCGAACGCAGCTGGAGGTGCTTCAAGAAAGAGATTGAGGTACACAACGTCCAGGAAAATGAGAACCAATCCCTGAACTGTGTGTGTGTGGGGGTGTGTGATTCCACACATCCGCAGAAATTTGCTCATGCGCACGCAGTAGTAAAACCGATACAAGCATATGAAACTTCTCAAACACGGGCGTTCTCGGACGCGCTTGGCTTATATCCAATCAGATCCAGGAAGCCTCCACCTGTGAGCCCGGCCGGGAAGGCCCAACAGGCAATATACTATATCTACTGTATGATATGCTCCCATCACGAGCAATCCGAGATGCGCTGCTGGAGGCGCCTCGCCGGCTCCTCCTTTGTGGCAAAGCCTGCTTTGGTGAGCAGGTGTGCCGGTGAGCTCCTGGTTCTGCCACGTTGCGAGGAGCGGAGGGGCGGCGGAACATCGTCACGGCAAGTGCTCTAACTCTAACAGGCATGGTTCAACCAACCATTCTCAGTAGGGCTGAGTGGCCTCAGTCAGTTACTCTGACTCTTATGAGGCAGAGGGTCAAACTCCGAAGAGTAGGTACAGGGAAGCTTCAACATGATCAACTGGTGTCCAAGAGCAGGTCCTGCGTCCTGCCTTTCGGCTGACTCTGCCAGCGGCTGCCGCAGCTGCGGCCACAGCAAAGGCACCGCCCTTGAGCTTCAGCTTGTCGCCATCCGCCTCCGGCAGCAAACACGACAAAAACACACGAACCAGTTAGCATATTTTCTCAGCAAGAAACAACAGCAAGACACATTATGCGAGTACGGGAATATGGGGTAAACCAGATGAGCACTGCACGACTAGATTGTTAGAACCAGAACACCGCCTAGTAATTAGCAGCTACAGCGCAAGTAGCACTCCCTCATGATGATTATATGTTATTTATAATGGCATACGGCCCTCTCAAAAACTCCGCGTCGGCCTCGAAGACATTGCCGCCCTCGAACTCGACCAACCACTGCTTCTTGCATCCATACCTCAGCAACGAGATTCTAGCAAGAGCTGCTCTTTCACAGGCTCCTCTTAATAGCACGTGGTATTCCAGCAGTTGCATGCAACCCTTCGTGGCTGAGGAATGCACTTGCCCGTGATGTAGTGCGCATCGGCAGAGCCACCCGCGCGATGTAGAAAACGGAAGACTTGCCTAGCCACCACCGCTTCTTGCGGTGCTTGCACAGGCATGACCGCCCAAACCCGGAAGGCCCGGTCGCTTGAGCCGAAAGCTCGGGGTGCCACAGAAACACAGTCACATAGTGCTGTTGCTCCCGATGCTTTCACGTTTCATCTTACAAGTCACGGGACCGAGCTCTGCAACATTTCCGCCTTCATCAGCTCCTCGAGCCTCAGCACGATGGGCCGGATAGTTCACGGCCCAGTTCGTTATGAAGATTTGGGTCAGCAGTGGCATAGAGACTTCATGACAAATGTTTGAAAATGTGTCTTGGAAACTGCGCCGTTCGTGATAGGACGCTGGGCATGGATATTCATCAGCCATAGCGAGACCGCACTATGGCCCCGTCCACGCATACACAGCTCGGGTCAAAGGCTCAAAGAACTTCAGAATCCCCGAAGTGCAGCCGAGCATCAGTTTCTGCACTGCTGGGTTAGCGTGCCACGCCTTGGCTCCGAACGAAGCCGGGGGTCTCGCAAACATATCTGCTTAAATGTGCATGCATGCATGCATGCATGCATGTGTGCATGTATACACATGTATGTATGAGCGTCAGTAATGTACGTGTGTGTACGGGTATGCATGTCAGCAAATGCATGCGTGCATGCAAGCATGTAGGGAAGCACAAGTACATGAGTCAGTCAGTGACTGAGGAAAGAAGCATAAGTGAGTATGTGGGCAGGCAAGGAAGCCAGCGGGCAGGCAGGCAGGGAGGCAGGCAGGCAGGCGGAAAAGCAAGCAAGCAAGCAGGCAAACGAGCGATCAAGCGAGCAAGCAAGGAAACAAATGATGTACGATAACGTGAATGTATATACATACCTTACGCATATGCATACACGCATACACAGAACCACAGAAAGCCTGCACGCCGTGGGAGCCCTGAGCAAGAGATTCGCCATATCATTCTCGGCTTAACTCGTGCAACGCGGAAGATCACCAGGCCGTGCCCTGGCCTAGATCGGGTTAGCAAATTTCAATATAGTAGGACCATATACATATATACATATGTACATATGTACATATATACATATATACATGTATGAACCCTAATTACGAGTCTCAGCTACTCCAAGATATCTCTGGCTTGCCGTTTGATTGCGAACCCATCGAACAAGACCCAGACTCACCAAATCCTGCACAGCCCCGGTTCTTGCCACCCTTGCCGGTGCCTGCTTGCACCGAATTCGAAGGTTCATGCGATTAAAACCGGTTCCCCCACACGTGCGCCGCCCAGGGCCCCTGACCATGCCACCCAAGCGGAAGATGGTCTGGCAGCCAGCCTCCTTCTGCTCCGGCTTCTCCTCGCTTGCGGCTTAAGCGTTTCTCAGCCCAAAAGGAGCCACCAGAGCCCTAACCCAGAGCCGAGAGCTCCTGCACCTTGGCTTCCTTCACCTGCGTGCTGGAGATGGCATCCAACTGTTTGGCAGCCTTCGCAGGAAGCCGCAGTAGAAATGGCCCTCTGTCTTGCAAGCTGAATACACCGCGACATGACGTCAACTGCCAGAATTGACAAGATGCATGCGCAATCACTCAGGCAGGCATGGCTTAAGGCAGTGTCGAGCCTTTCATCGGGCCGAAGCTATCCGGCCGTGGTCAAGAAGTTAGCGAAAAAACGCTCGGTACCTGTTTCACCTGCTATTTTGGAGTCTCAACAGGTTCAACAAGGTTTAACGAAATGCCATGCAACTCCATGGGCCAAGCACCCAAAAGGTCGGCAATCGAGTGCTTTCTTGGCCTGTCTCGGCATCCAAGCCCAATCATCCTCACCCTAGAATATGGTAAAATCCTCAAAGGCCAAGGCCACACAGATGTTGCAGCCTGTGAGTCTGTAAGTGGGAGCAAACATCGATCAACTATACTAGTTTAGTGCTACCAATCATTCCTCCTTTTCTTGCTCGTCCTGCCCAAGCCTCGTCGCCGAGCCGTTTCAGCACCTGCATGGCTTCGGCCGAGTTGGCATCGCCTCGTGGAAACCAAGGCAATGCACCCAGCACTCAGGTTGCAAAGCCAAGGTCTCTGTCTCAGTCCAAAAGCCACTAGCAAGATCTTCCCTTCCACGCCTCGGCAAGTCGCTTTAAGTCGCAAAAGCCACCCTCTCCACTTGCCACTTACAGCCAGACAGAAAAGAATCTCCAGAAGAATCACCAGCAACAATTCAAAGCCCATTGGGGCAAGGGTGTAAGGACACCAGTCCACAAACGACAAACAGCTTCAAGCCGATGGGAGAGGACTACAAACTAGCGTGTCTCTTCCCTTTTGGCGCTTTGCCGAATCTCTGAATGCCTCTGGATTCTTTGCATGTGCCGTCCAACTGCGGATGCGGAACCATCACACAAATCTTCGGAATCGGCCGGAGCATTCGCAGAATCTGATTTCATGACAGCCTGAAACAGCTAGCTATTCCCGGGACCATCTGAAGCACTCTGCCACCCTTTGAAAGACCCACCGGATCCTGAGACTGAGATTAACGTGAAGACACTTGTCCCGGGGGACCACCTCAACGAAAACAAAGAAACCCAACCAAATAAATCGCGATCCAGTCCGAATGCATATTGCCACATGCACGACTACCGTCTCGGGATCTGCAGCTCTCACCGTTGGACGTGCAAGCTGCACTTCGGATTTCAGGGTCGAAGACGTGGTCATGTAGCGGCCCCAGTCACAATCCCGCAAATCCAGAAGCATGAATCCTGCCTTTCGCTTCGCCACTCTTCAGGGCATTGAGCAGGCCTTTGCAAATGGTTTCATGCCAGTCTCAAAAGATTGTTGCTTCCAGAAATGATGGGGAAAGAGCAAAACGCTGGCTCGCACCCCTCTGAAGCCCCACTAGATTTTGGAGAGTGCTTCCAAAGTCCAGCAGCTCTGGAATGACTACTCTTGGTAGATGGTTTCTCATAAGAAGAAGTCTGTGAATGTGTCTTGCTGTAATTACAGTAGATGCTGGCCGGAGGTGCCTTGAGCCTCCTCGAGGACGTCCCAGGTTTGAACCTGGGCAGCGACCTGTTGGAGAGAGGCTGAGAGGCTTCAAAAGTCTGCTTCTCGGCAGTTGGAAGTCCGAGGCTGTTGCTCTTCATGCGGCTCGAGGTATGTTCCGAGCGACTGCTGTTCATGCTGTCGGAGAATGGTCATACAGTCGAAACATTCGCGGGGGACAAGAGTGATCTAGCAGAATTCAGGCACCTCCGCGCCGCGCGAGCGTCGGGTGGAGCCACCGTTGCTCTTGACGCTCCGGGCCTGTATGCGATTCGCAATACTGGCAGTGCTGGTAGTGTAGATTACTGTGTGTAACATACAGGCATGCACACATACATACATACATACATAGATACATACATGCATGTATGTTGATGTTTCTGTATATAAGCTCTGTATATACGCATACGTAAATGCACCTGTGTAGGTGTATATACATATGTATGTAATATATGTATGTATATATATATATATACACACACACACATGACATACGCATACACATGCAATGTACATAATCGCCGTTAAACACCCGCCCCCCCCCCCCCCCCAATAATTGAAACACAGGGGGGCGAGCACTCCCGAAATCATTGCTGCCCTTTGAAAACCTATTCGGAACAAGGGGGGGGGGGGGTTCGAGGCCCCAAATACCCTTAGAGCACAGTAAGAGCGAGAGCAACAGCAAGAGCAAGAGTTAGGGCAAGAGCAAAAGCGGGAGCATCAGCAAGAGCAAGTGCAGGAGCAAAAGCGGGTGCAACAGCAAGAGTAGGAGCAGGCGCATCAGATGCAGCAGAAGCAGGAGCAAAAGCCAGCGAGGGAGCAAGAGAAAGGGCAGGAGCAACAGGCCTTTAATATTAGGGGAAGGGATGATAGATACACACACACACACAAGATATGTAGATAAGCACTGTCCACACACACACACATCACCAAACCCAAGCCTTTGCATAAATTGCATGCCCGACATGACGTTGATACTCGTCAAACAAAAGATTAGCAGAGACATAACTGTACTAAGAATTGTGGCACACACCGGAAAATGACAGCATCGCATCCACTCGTTAAGTGTCGGGCTCTGGGGGCGGTTGGAAAGTGTTAGCGATGTCAAGTTGCATCAATTCCATCCGGAAGTCCCGACTTGTGACGGAGAGGCACCCAGAAGAAGCCAACACCTTCAGTGGCCTACTTCGGGGAATCAGCCTGCTGCTGTGCTTCGATCAGCTCTTCCAGGGGACCACTGTCCTTCCAGGCATCCGGAGGCTTGCGGTGTTTCAAAGGTTGAGACATTCTGCCGCGGCTAAGCTCGCGGGCCTCCAATGCCACATGTCCGCGGAACTGTTAAGCTCTAAAATGGTTACACTCAAGGTTGCTGCGAGGGCCCCGTTTCACTCACATTGCCGATCGCAAGAGCTACTGCACAGTTTACAGCTGAGTCATGCCAGGTCCCAGTCTAGAACGAAAATTCTAATCGAAGCTCTGTGATATCATCCCCTCGTTTCTCACCAGTAACCCCAGCAGGTCCGTGTTCAAGGCTTTCTCCACCGCTTTGAGGCATGCCTCTGCACCTCGATCACCGTTGTTCTGTTCGTTGGGCTCGAAGCTATCATGCTCATGGCGTAGAAAAGCTCAACCGAGCTTGAATGAAAGGCTCGTGCCCCGTGTTTGTGCGGGAATCCACGTCTTTAGACTTCTACCATGGCAGGCCAATAAATGTCGGGAGCATCCGCAGCACTTCGGTTATGCAACTTATTCACTCCGAGCAATCACTCGTTTGAACTTACAGTCGCAATGCATGTACACATCCGTACACCGATTATGTTCGAACGATCTTGTACACTGTTGGCTGCAAGTGCTTCTCACGTTCAACAAAGAGACAGGCCTGCTTAGCCAAAACCTCTGAGACGAATACCAGCCTGCGATACGAACCAGTGGAACGGAAATCTGTGGCACCTGAACCCTATTGACTCTGTAATTGGAGGCTGCCGAGGACAGGACTCGTTTTCTGGTCCTTGGCCACCTGATGCACCAAGCGGTGGCC